CGACCTCTTCAGGTAGGAAGGAAAGGAGCTTCTGTACCCTGTGGTCTGGTCAGCCGACAGCGCACATGAACTGGGGTTCAATGCTTGACTTACATAGGAGACCATCCTTTGTAGGCCTCCCTGACCTCCGAAGCAGTCGCAGGGGCCTTGTATCCCTTCATCTTGCGGTCGTCAGGGATGACCATCAGTAGATTGAACGTCTTCTCCTTTTGCATATTGTATCTGCGTGAAGATGAGCGATTGACAATGAAGACAGCTTTCAAAAAGCTCACCCGATAATGTGATGGTCGGGACCGAGGAACTGCTCAAAGTTGGGATCAGTGCTGAGCGACGCCAGCTCCGGATCACTGGTCAACCTCTCTCTCGGCACCACAACGCGGAAGCATGTGTCGCCCGTCTCGTGAGGCTCGATGTTCAGCCCCATCACCTTCCTGGCCAAGCTCTTGACTCCATCGGCAGCAATAATCAGATCGCCGCGAAGCGTCTCTCCAGACTCAAGGACGACTGTGGCCTCCTCGGGCTTGTAGTCAACCACGGTCTGTCCCTTGCGGATGACAGCGCCAGCTTTCGCGGCAGCCTTCACTAGGATGGAGTGATAATCTGGCCGGTAAATCTGCCAGTACGGAGCTCCATACACCTCGGGATGCCTTGACAGATCGGTAAAGCCCTGCGCCTCTGCTGTCTGCCAAGAACGATAGTTGATGCGAGATGGCCTGGACGACACGGCATCCATCTGGTCCCCGATGCCCCATCGGATCAACTCCCGCGAAGCATTTGGCGGTACTTGAACTCCAGCTCCAATCTACACATGGAAAAGTCAGCCTCTGGAAAAGATCACCCGGCATCTTCTGGCGGTAGTAGCTCACCTCGACAAAGTCTGCAGCCTGCTCGAGCACAGTCACCTTGTGCCCTACTTCTCGGAGAGCCAAGGCGGTGCCGAGGCCGCCTATCCCCGCACCGACAATGATCACGTCAAGCTGGCACTTCGCGGCCATGATGTCAAATGCGTGAAGGATTAAAGGCGGATGTTGTAATCGTGAGGCGGAACGTGAACCCAAGCGGACAGCAAGCCAACTTTTGGGTCTCACCTCCGCCACAAGGTCTACAAATATGCCTGAGAGGGCAAACACATCAGGCCACGCAACGGTGTCGTGCGAACGATTTCCAGAAAATGGAACCACCCGTCCGGATCATCCGCCCGTCGTACACCAGTGTGACCTTCGACGTCGTGTTTCATTCGAGTGGGAAATGCCGTGCGAGCCGGAATGTATAGAGCGAATGCTTCCGATTTCCGACGCCTTTCCGGCCCCTCACCACCTTCAACCCCAATTACCCCGCGCTTCGCACCCCGCGTCCATCTTCATCGATGCGCCCCACAGCCGCGTGATCCTGCATTGGTAGTCGGGGAGGATCGCGGCTAGTTCCTAAGCTGCTGATCTCGAGACACACTCGATTTAGAGAGGGGACTTGATCAGGTCTGTGTTGGTTCGTGTGTCGGTCCAGTCCATGGTACAAGAAGAGGAGAAAGAAATGGGTCTTGCTGGCAGTGTAACGCCACAGACACAATGAGTGTATTGTAGTGTAATCTTGATTATTGTATTAGAGTATTACGCTATGTTGAGCTTTGCAATTTCATCCCATGCATCTAGCCAAAACGAAACGCCTTCATCATCACACTCTATCCTGTCATCCCCGACGGCTTCGATGAGATATGGACTTGGGCAACGAAGCCTCTCGTCAGGCTTTGCATAGCCAACTAACCCGTTAAGAGTACGGGCAAGAACTTCCACTTGAGATAACAACGCTTGGGTTTTTTGTAGCGCCTCGTCCACCACGCGACCCTCGGCTGCATCTTTGCCTCTGGAAGCTGTAGGGGATTGCATGAAGTTCCAATGCCCCCTGCCTGACTTGCGCTCTTCATAGCAGGACGCGCTGGAACTGCATATACTCGACGCCGAACCACTATCCTCTCTGAAAGATGTGACAGATGAAGGCGTGTTGCCTGCTTGAGGGGAGTCTGTTGAATCTGACGGGGAGGCCTCAGAATTCGTTGAGTGTGGGTAGCCCGGTAAGTCGGAGCATGTCATTGGTGAGGACGGCAATGGTGGTGAGAATCTCATCTCTGACACGAAAGGCTGGAAACTGCCTTTTGATCTGCGTCTGACCCAGACTATCAACTACTATGCTCCTTCGACAGCGCACCCTAGAGGGAAAACTCACGACGATGTCAAGTGTTTCGGTATGACACATTTTTGCTCAAAGTGCTGACAGCTCAGACATGGTCCTCCCGGCTCTCCTTGTATGCACCTTGTTCTTCGCTGGGAACAGAAACTGCAAGCAGGGGCAGTACGGGGCCTCGAAGGTGGCGGCCGTCTCCTGGCCTTGCGGCGCGTCCTGGTAGTCGAGCGCCGAGACGATGCGGGGTCGATGTTGGAGTCGACATCCATGGCTATCTGCTCCTATTCTCCAAAAGGTGGCTCAGTCTGGTGATGAAGATGTCTGCCAGGGGTTTGCTGCCGCGGCGGAAATTCCGTCAAATGTTCAGGATATTTCACTGTTCAACAATGTAGAATAACTTGGCGATTCGACAATAGCATCGAATTTAGGCGCGTCAAAAGAATATGGTAAGATCGAATATTAAAACCGTACGGTCACTGTTCAATATAATCGATCATACCGTCGCTCGCTCCGGAGCCCCGTTCGGAACCCCGTTCCATGCCGTTTTGGGGTTCGCGTTGACTCCGAGCCACCGTACGGGACGCCGAACTATCGGCGGGATTTCCGCTTACTGCAATCTATATCACTCAAAACCTCCAGCTATAGTTCGCGCCAAATCATATCATGCCATTTCAGTAATCATTCGAGAATATGACACAAACAGAGAACACTCCAGCCCGGCGTCCGGCTTTTTCGGAGCTGCCGCTTCGAAAGGGGGATCCCTCCTATTCAGCATGGGGCTTCTGGGGGCTTGACGACCAGCTCGGTACCCTGGTGCGTATCTTGGGATGCCAGGTTGACTGTGGTGCTAATGATATGACCAGAACCTGATCACGCCTTCTGTCGTCAAGAATGCTAGCTCAGAGATAAAAGAAGGCCTGCGCTTTAGTCTCAAGTATGGTGATACGGGGTGGTGAACCTAGAATGTAGCACATGCAAAGGCGGCCATGCTAACTCTCGTTCTCGTTAGCTGGTCACTAAGTGAACCAAAGACACCAGGATTTCGCAGGCACGAGTTCGCATACGAGCATTCGATCGTAGGGCCTGGCAACGTACTGGATGATACCGTCAGTTGAGGACCTAGTCGCTAGTCGTCCAGACACCAATCTAACAGGACCCCCAGCTTAACTTCAACACGCAAAAGAGCACTCAATGGGACGGACTGCGACATTTCGCCTACCAAAAGGAGGGCCTATTCTACAATGGCATTACCAAGGACGACATGCTCAAGAGTCAGGAAGGATCTCTGGGAATCCACAACTGGCACACAAAGGGCGGCATCACCACGCGAGGTTTCTTGATCGACTACTGGGCCTATGCAGAGCTGGTTGGCCAGAAGTATGACCCGTCGACTCCGCATGCCATACAGTACGATGACATCGTTTCTTGTCTCGAATGGCAGCACGGACAGTCGCCAGGCGGCCTGGAGCCACAACCCGGCGACATTCTGATTATCCGCAGCGGCTTCACAGCACGATACGTCAACCTGAGTGCAGAGGAGGAGAAGAACGGGGGCGAGGCGTGGCCTCCAGCCTCTTGTGGTCTGCAGCAGGATCGTCGGCTGCTGCAGTGGCTGTGGGACAAAAAGTTCGCCGGTGTCGGCGGAGACGCCCCCGGGTGGGAAGCGTTCCCAATAGCGGAGGAGGCAGGGTTCACGTTTCACGAAGTCCTGCTTTCCGGCTGGGGCTGCCCGATTGCTGAGCTGCTGTATCTGGAGGACCTGGCCGCTTGGTGCCGTGAGAACAAGCGCTGGACGTTTTTCCTGTCATCGTGCCCCCTCAATGTACACGGAGGAGTGGCGAGTCCGGCCAACATGATTGCTCTAGTGTAGTTCCAATGTGTGCTTCAAGGCTGCCTTTTGTAGCAAAACTATTGTTATTCTCATAAAGTGTCCTGCATGTATCATTAAAGGTTTGATCCTAGTGCCTTGACGGCATATCTGTCCCACGCAACTGCAAATGCATCAACCCCAGAAACGGATAGCCCACCGATGCAAGCCTCTTCACCATCCCCGAAAGATATGTATGCCTTTTGCCGAGGGATCTCAATGCATGCCCCAATCCTCGCCGTGTCTTGTCCATGTGCATTCACCTGCGCTACGTACAGTGGCTGCAAGTCAAAATTATGGGGTTCGCTTGTCTTTTCGATTCTGCTGTAGCGACTCTTCAGGTTGCTGCTCGAAAGCGATCCGAGTTGATAATGATGGATCGTGGGTGGCCCCCTGAGTAGCGATTTGGCAGCCTCAAAGAACGGGCCGGCAGAAGGACTTTGGAGAAACGCCTCGTGAGCTTCGAGGCTCCTCCACTGGGCCAGCGAGACGGCAGTCGGCGGATACTGATCGTCGGCAGCAGGGTTGACGACAAGTCCAGTGATCAGCGAGATGAGGCCTGGCTGAGCCAGGAGGATTGGTTCCATCTTCTCGGTGAAGATGCGGAGAAACTCTGGGTAGGGGACTCCCAAGGGGTTCTGGACCATTTCCGTGACAGGTGGAGCCGCCATTGTCGTTTGTCTGTTGTTTCAGTGCTTGATGGCTCTGATGTGCCTTATGACTGTACATCCTGAGTGTTCCGACAGCTTGTTAATATCTCTGGCATACCTTGGAGCGACTTGCACACGGGAGGAGGATGATCGCCGCGAAAAACTCCGGGACACGGTAGGCGGGTGGTGGGGGTGCGGAAGCCACGGAACCTTAGACTGACATTCCGCGCGACGCCCGGAACTGATCCAAAAGATCAGGCCGGCGAGAATGGGATATCATGACATGGGCCCATCGCATCGCCGCCATGTCTTCAATGCGCTACTACGAGATTGTACTCAAAGCTGAATTACTTGGACTCGCTGAGCTGATTGAATGAGTACTCAAGATGGTTTCCCTTCCTCCCCGCAAGTTCTTTATCGGAAATGAGGTATGTCGTGGCCGGACCTTGGTGGTGTTGCCGGATGGAGAGACCCCACTAATTTGAGATCGACAATCAGTTTGTAGACTCCCAACACAGCAATGGCCAAAGAATTACCTTGCTGAACCCGGTTGACGACTCGGTCGTCGTGGATGATCTTCAATTGGCCGGAAAAGAAGATGTTGACCGAGCCGTCGCGCTTGCGAATGAGGCATTCCGAAAGGGACCATGGGCATCGTTTACTGGTGTTCAGCGCGCCGCCTGTCTCAACAAATTCGCTGATATCGTCGAGAAGAATGTCGATCATCTTGCGTACTGCGAGTCGCTTCCCACTGGACGTCCCATTGCAGGCATCATTCACATGGATTTGGCTCATATGGCTCAAGTCTTCCGATGTAAGGTCAATGGTGAAAACCGAGCTGTGAAATCCCTTTCTGACAGGATCAGATTACGCTGGATGGGCGGATAAGATTGCAGGGCAATCATTTTCAGAAGACAACGGGTTTGCCAAGATCGTTAGGTACGAACCTCTGGGCGTGTGCGCGAGCCTGGCGTCCTACAATGCGACTTTCCTCTACATTGGCTGGAAGCTTGCGCCAGCTCTAGCAGCTGGAAACACGGTTCGTTGCCAAAGCTGTCCTGTTTCGTGGTGCGTTTCCTGACTCTTTCCATTAGGTTATATTCAAGCCCTCCGAGAAATCGCCGCTGGGAATTCTCGCCATGGCGCCGCTCTTCGCAGAGGCTGGGTTCCCGCCTGGCGTCGTGCAATTCTTGACGGGCGCCAGAGAGACTGGAGCTTTGCTGTCCTCACACCAAAGAATCGCAAAGATCAGCTTCACCGGCTCAATTGCCGCTGGAAGAGCTGTCCAAGAAGCTGCGACGAATAGCAACCTCAAGAAAGTCACTCTAGAGCTCGGCGGCAAATCAGCAGCTGTAGTGTTTGACGATGTGGACTTTGATCTTTGTGTGGACTGGTACGCCTTTCTTACCTTTATCCTTGTTGAACAATATCTAATTTGGCACCTCAGCGTCGGCGGTGGCTTCCTTGCCAACTCGGGGCAGATTTGTGTTGGTAAGTCCGACAGATGAAACTGGCGTCGATGGCGAAAGTTCTCACCAGTGTGCAGCGGCCTCTCGCGTGTTAATTCAGGAATCTATTGCAACCAGGTTCATTCAGGCCATCAAAGAGGTCTTTGAGCGGGCTCGAGACGGTATGGGCAGCAGTCCCCTGGAACTTTCGACGCAGCACGGCCCGGTAGTCGATAAATCCCAGTTCGACCGTATCATGGGATACATTGAGAAAGGCAAGCAATCTGCCGAGCTCGTCACTGGTGGTAAAAGGAAAGGATCCAAGGGATGCTTCATCGAGCCGACGTTGTTCGTCAACCCAACCTCGGACAGCCCAATCTGGAAAGAGGAGATTTTCGGACCCGTCCTCACAGTCAAGACGTTCAAGACCGAGAAGGAAGCCATTGAGCTAGCCAACGACACAGTATACGGACTTGCCTGTAAGGAAGCGCTGATAAACTTGATTGATTGTGGAACTAACACGTTTCCCTTCTTCTACAGCGTGTCTGTACACATCAGATCTCTCTCGAGCATTGCGTGTATCCTCGGCACTTGAAAGCGGCGGAGTGTCTGTGAACTCTCCATACCTCCCGGAGCTCAACACTCCGTTCGGAGGTTCAAAGCAGAGCGGACAAGGCAGAGAGCTTGGCTCTCACGGCTTGTACAGTTACCTAGAACCGAAGTCAGTGCATATCAAGTAAGTTGGCCCCAGCGACGTGCCTGGCGTAGCCGTACCATGCTTATCGAGGCTTAGAATCACGGCAGCCAAACTGTAAGAATGTTGCGACACCTTGAGGAGAGGATATGTGCCAGGATTCATTCATCTATGCCTCTCACCAAAACCTTCTTAACTGAGCTAGATACGCTGAATAAGCGGCCGAGGCGTATCAACAACGGCACCGTATAAGGTTTTTGTCCCAAATTAAATTAATTGAACTCTTCATCACATGTCAAGACGATTCGTCAAATGAATGGGGACATGTTGCATTCTTAGGATTGCTTACTACCATTGATCGCCGTTCGGCAAGCATCGTGCCGAATTCCGTGTTTGCCGGAGAAGTCCATAGTGGATCCGCCCGGTAGAGAAGACCTCGGCATTAGTTCCGCTGGCGCCGAAGACCTAACAGACTCACAACAACTGCTGGTGAAGATAATTAAAAGGACTACAAAGCTCAATTTTGAGGGTTGGTACCTAGCATATTAATCATCCCCGATTGAATAGATCCGCACTATTGTCGCACATCCCGATCAAAATGGCCGAAGTCCGCACCGAACTCTACGTCAGGAGAACTCTCATTGTGCCAGCCAGTGTACCCAAGGATGGCGAGCCGTCCAGTCGCAGAAACCTCGCCGGGTCGTTGAGATTGTCCGTACATGATTACTCCGTACTCGATGCGAACCCTGATGGCGTCACCTTCGTCCTCACACATGGCAATTCTTACAACAAATATTTCTGGGAGCTCATCATCAATCTCCTCTTGAAACGACCGGATCTGAGGCGATTTATCAAGAGGTTTATCGCCATCGACACAGCGAACCATGGCGATAGCGCGGTGCTGAATCGAGGCGTGCTGCCAGCCAAAGGTTAGCGCTACAAAGCTTGTGAAAAATAGGTGGTACAAGGTGCTGATTTGACGCGCAGCATGTTGGCACGATGTTTCTAGGGACATCCTCAGCACGATAGAACATGTTCAGGCTCAAAAGCCGGTCATTGGACTTGGTCATTCATATGGAGGAGGAGGACTGTAAGTGTCATGCAATTGAGCAAGTTGATCCTGGACTGATTGCTGTTCCAGGTGCCACGCAGCTATGCTCGAGCCGACGGCCTTTCTTGCCACAATTCTGGTAGAACCAATTCTTTTCTCGATGGAAGCGGAAACAAAGATGGTTGTTCAGATGACCTTGCGGCGCCGCGACACATGGAAATCAAAGTAAGGAGAAAGCGAAGTACTGAAATATGCAGGCGAGAGTAGCTAACGGTAGGCCTAGGGCGGATGTCACGGCGGCATTTCAAAAGAGCAAAGGGTTTCGAAGCTGGGACAGGCGACAGTTGCAAGTCTACTTGGTAAGTAACCCTCTTCAATCCCATATTGTCATTTTTCAGTAAGGTAGTTGACCGTGCTGTGGCCAGGATCATGGAATCTATGCAGAAGATCCCAATGACCCCTCGTCACCCGTGCACCTTACGACCCCCAAAGAACAGGAAGCTGTAGGTGTCTTCAAGCTCTCCCAGCTTTACGACCATGTATTGTGGAATCCACTGACATACATCCGCCGCTCAGGCCTCCTACATCGCAGAGCCGCATCCGGTCATCCTTGAGCTCATCGAGAAGTCCAAGGGCCGAAATCACTTCATTTGGGGTGGTAACAGTGAGGTCGTGTACGTTGTACTACAGCCCCCAGGAAACCCTTCTCGCTGACTTGAAAATAGGAATCGCGAGAGACGGGAACATGTCGCGCGATTGATAAAGCCACCCTCTACATCGCAGGTCATGGCGGGTGCCAATCACGCAGTAAGTCTTGTGTCCGTTATGCCCATACTGTCATTCATTTCTCACACGTGTCATCACCAGATCCCAATGTCGCGCCCTGAGCAGTTGACTGCGATTATAGCCGAGCTGGTGATGCCACTACTCGGTGGCGGGAGCGTAAAGGGCAAGCTATGAGACGCCCGGCGTTGCACGTGAATGGTTTAAATGTACGGAAATTCCGTAATCAATTCCGAAGCTCCTCTTCCTTTGATCAGGGGGTCATCGCGAACAGGGTCATTCGCCAGGAAAGACGCTACCCCGGACAGCTAGAGCCATGCGGGGTCCGGGGTAGGCGGGGAGAGGTTAGGGGTGATGTGTCCAGACCTCCAGGGTCTCCTCTACAGGCGATTTCCTTCAGTTGTGCGCTGAAGCCAAGACCGGGCGCTGCCAGAACGGCTAGAATCAGCGGTAGCCTAAACTCTACGTGAATTGACTAGTGATATCCCTGCAGTCCCTGCAGCGTTGTCGTCGGTTTCCATGGGTCAAAACTGAAGAATGACTCGCCAGCACTGAGGCGCCATTGATCTCCCCGGATGCCCCATGCAGGGGAGACTCACCTCCGCAATCCGTTCCCTGAGAACACATACCCGTTGCACATCATCATCAATTGTGGCATCATCGTCGCCATGGACTCCGATAAGCAGCTAGATAGTGCCAAGGCTTCTTCTATTGAGGTCAGGACCACCACAGATCGTGTTGACCACGCTTCTGAGAAGCCGGAACGCCGCCTATCGCATTCGACCGACGCATCGAAGAACAGCGGCAAGAAGACGGCAGAAAAGCGAGCAGATGATCGAGCAAGTCCAGATGCTGCAGAGCAGCCAGCGAAGAAGATGAAGAGGGGGAAGTACATTTCAAGAGCTTGGTACAACGACCTCTCTCCCGGTCATCTTAAGTCTCCAGTTAGGCCGCTGACACTTGCCCACTACTAGCACATCATGTCAACAGCGAAAAGTAAAGGTCAGTCGCACGAGTTGTACACACATCCGAAGGGTTCTGCTGCTAAATTCTTCCAAAGTGCGATGGCGGCGAGCCGTGTGCTCAATGTATCGCCCGGGACCAGCCGTGCGTCTCCGCGCCAAAAGGCCACCATTCGCATACAGCGATGGATCAGCGAAGCCGCACTTTCAGTGCAGGCGAGATCGATGCCGTACGTCGTGCAGGTGGCAGGTAAATGATGAGCTCCTTTCCCACATTGCGCTTCACGAAGATTCTAACCTGCAAGCAGCACCGCGGGGAACGCCAGTACTATGGAGCTGCTCGCCCGCTTGGCCGAAGTGGAGCATCGACTGAACATGATCCCGACATCCAATTTCGATGCCATGCTGTACAAGAGTCAATCACATCATACGAAAGGCCATTCGACGGCAGGCGAGGATCACCAGATCTCCTCTACGACTGATCTGTCAAATGTGATGGAGCCAGACGGCCAAACATTCGCGGGTGAGATCTCGATGAGCCCTGGCCTTCAAGGCATGGAAGACGACATGGATAGAATGGCCGCGGACTCATCCGGGATGATGGCAGAGTATCCATCCAGGTCTCCGAATCCTGCGGGAGACAGTTCTCCGCGAAAGATTCGTGCCTGGTTGGAGGCGATTCTCGACCAACACGGTGTCGTTGCTGATGAGGAGGCCTGGAGACGATATCTGCACGTTTTCCTCGAGGAAATCCACATCCTCTACCCGATACTACACGCGCCTACACTCTGGGAGACTTTCAACGAGATGTGGGAGTATTCCGCTCTATGGCCCCTCACGAGCTCGGCAGAGCGCGAACAGAAGCGGATGGCTGTGGCTCTTGTGTGCTTTTGTTTGGCTCTCGGAAGATGCAGCGTATCAAGCCGCGTCACTGATGCGAATGGTGTGCAGTCTGCTGGCTGGACTCTATACAGTGTCGGTATGAGCCTCCTTCAAGACTCAACAGAAATGAGCAACACGGCCGCAAAGTCACTTTTAACTCTACAGATGCTCTTAATCCGGGTGAGTGAGCTGCGGAAACGTCAAAGCAGTTATGTCGCAAGTGAAGCGCAGCACTGACAGGTTCCTCCAGGTAATCTACCTTTTCCGCCTCGACGCTACTCAACGGGCGACCCGACTTCTTGCACTGGCAGTGTCCAATGCCCATATCATTGGTCTGCACCGACAGAGCACCCTGGAAAACATGCCTGCAGTCGCCAGCCAAATGTATACTAGATCGTGGTGGTCTATTTACGTACTAGATCGACGTCTGGCCATCGAATCCGGCCGGCCATACTTAATCCAGGACAGCAATGTCGACACAGCACTGCCTCTAGACCTCAGTGACGCATGGCTGACTCGTTTCCAGTCGAGGCCCGAGAAGATCTCACAACTGCAGAGAGAGGTGGCGCTCGAGCTTGCCAGCGAGCCGATTACGGCGATTCCGTATATAGCGGCGATGGTACGATACTCGAGAGTCGTAGGGAAGGCCTGGGAACTTCTTTACGGTGTCAAGTCCGCCAACTCGACATCGTCCCCGATGGTGGAGTATGCTGACACAGTCTTGACTGATCTCCTCGACACATTGCCTCCATGTTTGACGTACGACCCCAACATCCCGAATGAGGTGCAATTTGCGTCAAGGCTGCGATGGCAGGTCAAACAGACTGTGCTACTTTATACAGTGAGTTGGGCATCCACAGCCACACTTCTGCGATCACGACTAAACAAGCATAGTGCACACATTTCCTCCGCTTGCTCATGCGACGCCCGTTTTCATCTCACCTACGACGTTTCGATCGAGCCGAAGACGATGAAGTCGAGTGCGCCACAGTATGTGCCAGTCTGGCGGCGAGAATACTGAACGTACACGAAAGCATCCAAGACGATACTCTCAAGTACTGCTTTCCATTCAGCCATTATCTTACGAGCTCAACAATGATCATGATGGGACTTTTCACACGAGAACCCAGCTTGAAGAGACGTCATCGAGCCACGGTTCTCGCTGCGACTCGCTCGCTCAATACCTATTGTCACAGGATATGGGTGTCCGGCAAGATGATGCGCTGGGTGCAGAAGTTGACGTCCCTCGTCCAGCGCACATTCAAGGAGGGACGGACGGACCGCGAGTCATCACAACGACGGGATAGCGTTTCCCTTAATCAAGAGGTCAGAGGGGATGATATGCAGCAGCTGACGCCGCATTCAGACCAGGCCATCGAGTCTGAGAATGGCATATCCGCAGACTTCCAACAAACCAGACTTTTGGGCGGCTTGCCAGCGGGGAAGCAAGGTCTTGGTGGTTCCCCGTCTTGGAGCTTTGGTACAGACGGACAAGGCCCAAACCTTCCGGACTGGGCTATGTCGGACTTCAACTTCGAAACCATCATTGCCGGAGAGGGGACAGTTCAAAGGGCCCTCCAGCCTGGAGATCTGGTCACAATACCGGAGAATGGATCGTCCACAATGAAGATCAGCAACATTGACTTGGACGAGTGCATGTTTGGTTCTCTTGGTCCGAACGGAATCTTCAACCTTGACATGGATATGGAGCAGGCCACTTTGGGTCTTTTCAGCCCCGACATCTCTAGATATGCTTGAGAGAAATGAAGATAATGAATGGGTGGGCGTCGGTGTCAGCGGGCTCGGACTGAAGCAAATATTGTACTATCTACATCTGCCAATTTCAACAACGTTCTAATGCAAAACCTCAAACTAGCTGATCAAAGCCTCGCGCGTTCCTGAGTCTCACGGCGGGCAATTGCTGCTGGCAGAAGTCGTCGCAGAATTTTGCCAGCGGGGCTTCTCAAATGTCAGCGTAGTCTTCACTGCCCTCTGGAAGGGCACTTGCTTACTTTCTGGGAATAGCGTCAAGAATGTGAACGCCTCCTGTAATTTGCTTGTACCTGGCGACCTTGGAGTTTGTGTGTACCAGGATATCTTCTTTGAGTCGCTGTTGCTCTTGGTGGCCCTCTACAGCAGTCGTGATGTAAGCGACCGGCATCTCGGATGTGCCGTGATCGTTGTACACGCCACAAACAGCAGCGTCGTTCACTAATGGGTGGGTGATAAGGATGGCCTCAAGCTCAGCGGGAGCGACTTGTTGCCTTTGCGCCAAAGTCAGTACACGAAATAATCAAACGTATTTCAAGCGTGGCAACTTGCCCTTTGACCTTGATCATCTCCTTCGCCCTGTCGACAATAAACAGGTACCCGTCCTCATCAACGTAACCAATGTCTCCAGTCTTCATGAATCCATCGGCAGTCATAGGGCTATCGACCTTTTCGCTGCTGACGTATCCCTGCATGATGTTTGGGCCACGGATAATAAACTCTCCAGTCTTCGCGTCTGTGGCACGTCAGCAAGTCACCTTTCGGCCTAGGGCAGATACGTCCCAGACGCACCGTTTCCGTCATCGTCAATGATTCGCATTTCGATCCCAGGGAGCAGCCTGCCAATGGTTCCTTTCCGGTTGAGTTCGTTCTCTCGCTGTGAGGCCACACTAGGGCTAGCCTCTGTCATACCGTACCACTGGGTGACGGCGCAGCCGAACCTTTTTGTAAGCTCATCTGCTTGTCTCTGGTTCAGTGGTGCAGCCGCGTTCATCATGCACTGCACAGTTGAGAAATCTCCCTGCGCAGCAAGCGGGTTGCGCAGAAACTCAAGTGCGATTGGGGGGACAACATTGATATGTGTGACTAGAGGGAAATATCAACGACAGGTCTATAACTCAGAGATCGCCTGTGGGTCATTTCTTACTGCGATGCTTCTTGACAGCTGCAAGGAGCGGGCCCATATCGAACCTCTTGAAGGCCACGATCGGTGTTCCCTAAGCTCCATCATTAACACTTGTCCTCACAGCTGCTCTGGGTTATCTCACCTGGCAGACGTATTGGCACGAGAATCCAGCGAGGCCGAGAATATGAAAGAAAGGCACGATGAGAGCCACAACAGTTTTTGGTGTGAACATCCCTTCTAGACCTTTTGATTGCTGGAAAATGTTTGCCACAATGTTACCATGACTTAGCTGTACTCCTTTGACGAGACCCGAAGTGCCGGAGCTGAAGCAAATAAAAGCCAAAGAGTTGGCGGCAGCTCCTGGCGGAAGGCTTTTCGGCTCAAAGCGAGAAAGACCGTGCTGCAGGATGTGCTCGACCTCGAGTATCGCGACATTGTTGCCGTGAGCTTCCAGAGAATCCCAAACATGCAGGGTTGGCCTATGTGGGAGGTCGGACGTCATGGAAATCGCATTCGAAAGCCGCGGAAGAAGATCTTGTTCGACCAGCACATGCTTAGGCTTGCTTAGGCCTAGAGCATGTGATAATTCCTGGATCTTGTCAGTCTTGGTCTCGCCAAGCAAAAGTGGACACTTACACTAGGCTCATAGAGAGGGTTCAGTGCCGAGACCACCGCGCCGGTAGCTAAAATAGCATGGACGCAGATTGGGAAATAGTGCTTCGGGATCTAGAATCAGTCATTCGAATCAAACAATGTTTTTGGAGATGCCGTACTCGATTCGTTGATAGGATGCCAACGACGTCACCGGGCTTCAAGCCAATCACCGTCTGGAAATGATGAGCAAGCTTCCTGACGCCAGTCCGAAAGCTTGCATAGGTGAAAACTGTTTCGCCTGAGAGGCCATCGATTATTGCCGGATGGTTGTCGGGTGTATTGTTCAAGTTGTAGTTGAGTAATAGTTCCGTCAAAGTGAGATCCTTGGGATATTCGAGCACCTGCTGACTCGTGTAAATCATCTTGACGGAGGATTGCTTTCAAAGTGTACCAGCAAAAGAAACCAGAAGAGCCGCGAAACGATTTGTGAGCTACAAGAAGAACAACACAAGCTAACAGGACATGATGGCATTTTGTTTAGCCATAGCTGGTCACCGGGCGTTCGGTCCAGGGCCCCGAAACTACGGCCAACCCCGGACTGGTCAAGTTCCGGCGACTTCGGAATTTCGATTAGCGCTCCACTCGCACCCCAAAGATGGATTTCCAGACTCTCCGGAAATATTTCCTCACATCGCCCATTGTACGCGTGACATTCGCATCGCAGTGCTGCCGATACAAAGACATAAAGTTTTCGATTGAAGTCGGCATTGAGTTTAAATGTCAATTTCGCACCAGCCTGTTTTTTGTACCCTTATCACTTCTACACCAAAACCATGTCTCCAACCCACGCAAAGGTCGCCTTCGTCACTGGTGCGAATGGCATCACTGGCAATGCCATTGTCGAACACCTCATACGTCAGCCAGCGACCGAATGGTCCAAGATTGTCATTTCTTCCCGGAGGAAGCCTACACAAGTATTCTGGCAAGACCCTCGCATCCGATTTATTGCATTGGACTTCTTGAAGCCAGTCGATGAACTTATGGAGGCTATGAAGCCGTTGTGCCACGACGTCACACATGCATTTTTCGCCTCCTATGTCCATACTGCCGACTTCGCCAAGCTTCGGGACCTCAACGTACCTTTGTTCAAGAACTTCCTTAGTGCCATCGACATGGTCGCCTGGAACTCGTTAAAGCGCGTCTGCCTCAGCACTGGCGGAAAGGTTAGCCTTCAGCCTTGATCCATTCGTTGAACCGGGGTCTCACACATAGATGGTTAGAACTACGGCGTACATCTTGGCCCTGTCGAGGTCCCAATTCACGAAGGGATGCCGCGCTACCAGGATCATGGAGAGAACTTCTACTATCCTCAGGAAGATTATCTTTTCGATCTCGCTTCCAAGCGAGAATGGGACTGGAATGTCATTCGTCCCAACGCCATCATCGGATTTACGCCTGCTGGTAAGTCATAATGCTATCAAAAAAACAAAGAATAGTGTTGCTGACAGTATAACAATAGGTAACGGCATGTCTGCCGCCTTGACTCTGGCCATCTACATTCTGACTTGTCGTGAGATGGGAGAGGTACCGGTTTTCCCTGGAAACAAGTTTTTCTACAACTCTGTCGATGATGCGTCTTATGCCCCCAGCCTTGCAGACATGAACGTCTGGGCAGCTACATCAGAAAACACCAAGAACGAAGCATTCAATCACACCAACGGTGATGTTTTCGTGTGGAAGCACTTCTGGCCGAAGCTTGGAAAGTACTTCGGTGTTGATGTGAGTTTTGTCTCTTGCCAGTCTGCTCTCACTGCTGACAACGTATAATTAGTTTCCCGAAATACAGGAATGGAGCGCCGCGGGTGATGGCCAGCGCATGGAGCATAACTTTCTCATGACCGAATGGGCCAAGGACAAGGCGCCCATCTGGAAACGTGCCGTAGAGAAGCATGGTGGAAACCCCGAAGCATTCAACTGGGGTACTTGGGACTTCTTTGACTGGGCAGTTGGCAAGGCTTGGCTCACCATTGGCTCCGTTTCCAAGGCTCGCAAGTTCGGCTGGACCAGGTACGATGACACGTACGACACGTACATTGAGACCTTCCGCTCCTTCGAGAACGCCGGCATTCTTCCCCTCACTGTTGAGCAGCAGTCGCTGCCAGCCGACACCAGGGCCAAGCTCGCTCCTCATCCTGGCGATGCGGTGGCCGCACGCGAATCCGCGGCTGCCGTTAATGGCTTCAAGAAGGCTGAGCCCAGGTCTAATGGGGTTGAACCTCGGTCGAATGGAGTGAAGAGCTTTATTGTGGACTCGAAGTTTGGAGCGGAGGTTGGTCACGTTGAGACTGTAGAGATTGTCAACTAGGGGCTTGGTCATGGTGCTTAACGTATTCTGGCGTTGCTTCACGTAGGCTTGTTCAATACACGTCATTGCTTCATCACAATGAAATCCATCCCGAACTTGTGAACCCTCGTTCTATCTGCGCAAATAGCAAGATACATATCCGTCTGCGTGAAGACCAATCCTCGACCGAATACTTTAGCGCAGTCAAAATGTAATGCCATCTGCTGTCGAGGCGATGAAATTAGCAGGGCCTCGGGAATATGATACGACGGAAGTCAAACATCGGCATAGACATAACACGCGTCACTCATTTTGAGATGGCTCGCTATCCGCAGGTCCGGCGATATCACTTGTTGTTGAAGGTACCAAGCAGTGTTCCGTCCAATTCTTGGCGGATGGAATTCGCCAAACCTTAACGGTTCCAAGACATGATCGATAGGTCAAACAACGTATTACAGGTTGCGCCATATTAGTTATTGGTGAAAGTTGGTTGGTTGCGGAAATCCATCGGAAATTCCAAAGTGGCTTTGATGGCCAAAACGCCCAACAACTAGGGTGCGAGCTGTGCTACAACCTGAATGGAGGCCAAGCCACCCCCAATAGTGCCACTAGATTGTGGAATTTCCCTGGGAGCTACCCCATGGGGACCCCAGGCTCGCAATTTCGGGATGGAGGTTTTGGCAGTTCAGTTGGTCATTCAGTGCAAAGTCTGGCACATGAACCTTTGGTTCAATTGAATAAAGAAAATCGTCGCCCTCAACATTTCGTTGAGGGTCTGCAGTTGACAGAACACCACTCAGAATCTTTGTACCTTCCAGCAACACCAATTGCTTTCGAGTCATGGCGATCACCGAGAAGACTGACGTTGAACACGTCTCGTCGAGGGATGTTGAAGCCTTGACCAAGCGCCCAACCGTTGAGCCTGTGCCGCAATCTGCCAAAGCCGAAGCTGGTGTCATCCTTCGTGTTGACACCGCAGCTGATACAGGTCTACGCCTTGCTAAGGACGGACATGTAAGTATCTCCTTTCACAACTGCTCCAGGCGACTTTCACTTACCACCCTTCAGACTGTTCTTCTTCCGCAACCCACCGATGATAAAGATGACCCACTCAACTGGCCATCTTGGAAAAAACATGCCGTTCTATTCGTAGTCGCATGGGGAGCGTTCTGTGCCGACTTTACATCAGCCGCAGGCAGCGCTCCTATTCTGTTGCAGGCTCAGGAGTGGCATGAAAGTATCAGTCGAGTGAACGAGACCAATAGCATCAATGTCCTGATGATGTGAGTATTTTCAATGTCCCCGAAATCGAAAGCTGTACACGTATTAATCTTCTTAGGGCTCTGGGTGGTTTGATCTGGGTGCCAATGACTTCCATCATCGGCAGAGCCCCTACTTTGTTCTGGTCGAACCTCATAGGATTTCTCTTCACGATTGGGACAGCTCTCGCGCCCAACTTTACGACTTTCTACGCCATGCGTGCGCTGAAGGGGTTTTTCATTACATCTTCGCAAACCATCTCGATTGCGTTCATCAGAGACATGTTCTTCCACCACGAACGAGCTCGCAAGATCGGAATCTGGGCACTGCTTTACATTGCCTCGCCTTACTGGGGTCCCCTTGTGGGCAACTTTGTTCTCGGCGCCACCCATAAGTGGCAGGATGTATTCTGGACCTGTGTCGGCGTTTGTGCTCTTGACATGATCGTTATTGTCATGTTCCTCGACGAAACTTGGTATAACCGCGAGATTCAATCCTCCGATCAACCTCGACGCGGAACAGGTTTCTGGTCAAGAATGTCCCGCATCGTCGGCTTTTGGGAGTTTCGGAACCAGAAAGGCTACTACAAGCCTGTCTACCATTCTTTCAAGAAGTACATCATCACTTTGACGAAGCCTGTCGTTTTCCTCGTCCTTGCCGCATAGTAAGTTTCCCAGCAGATCTCTCGCAGCCGTGTCGGAAGCGGACACTGATATGGTGAACAGCCTGCTCTTCTTCGCTTGGGCCATTGGCATCAACATCACGACTGCTATTCTTTTCGGCACCCCACGTGAGTTTGGTGGCTACGGGTACTCTTTCACGAGCCTCGGTTATCTTTACTTCTCGCCCATCGTCGGTGTCATCTTCGGAGAGGTATTCGGCCACTACATCAACGACTGGATCGCTCAACGCTACGTTCGTAAGCACAATGGTGTCTTTGAGCCCGAGGCTCGACTTTACATGATTTACCTGGCCGCTATTCCCATGATCGGAGGTCTGGTTCTACTCGGCCAAGCACTCGACCGTCATCTGTCTGTCGCAGCGGTCATCATGGGATGGGGCCTTCACAGCTTCGGAATCATGCTCACCTCGGTGGCGGTCTCTGCGTTCGTGTTGGACTCGTACCCAACCGCCCCTGCTGAGGTTTCGGGCTGGTCGAACTTTGCCCGCGCCATTGGAGGGTTCAGCGTTGGCTACTTTCAGCAGCCCTGGGGTGCCAAGGTTGGGTTCGATGGCAGCTTCGGTACCCAGGCTGGGGTTGTTGCTTTCGGGGTGATCATTGTTGGCATTGTTCACAAGTACGGCCACTCTCTACGTCTCAGGGCTGGACCGATCGAGCAGTAAGTAAGGATTACCAGTAGCCCTTCTTAAGTTGAGGAGATGCAAATTGCCTTGAAATTACTCGAGCATGGAGGATATGTGGAAGGGTCTGGGAACGTTGAGACTCAATTAGTCACTCGAATATCACCTATTTTCTGTAAGCCATGGCTCATTGAAAAGGTTTGAGCGTGACCAACGAGCCGTTTTTTTTTCTGGAGTGTTCCGGTGAGACTTACAGAATCTACTGTGTTCGCCAACTTCAACACCTGGGGTAGAAACATTGCCAACGATAGGATCCACAGCGGAATTCGTCGGGGGTCACCTGCGGGGCCAAGGAACAGGGGGCTTCAGAGGCCTAGTTCAGGGGCTGAGGTCACGGAAAGCGTATACAAGTGCAGTAAATGCCCTCCTATCCGCAGCTGGCCGGGCCAGAACCCAATCGCTTTTTAGCCCCTGTTTCACAATCAACAGCGCAACACGCCTGCTGAAAGCTCATGGCTCGGCCCCACCACGTTGACAAACATCACGCTTTGGAGGCTGTGAAGCCACTCTTGAAGCGAAATACCATCATGGGCAATGAATTTTGTTTACGTGTTTACTTTTTCAATTTCCTTGTTCTTCTACAGAATACTTTCCCTCTCCTTGAGCCTGACGAACAAATTGCTCTGCTTGACGAACCAGGCGTTGTGCAGCACCCAAGGCGAATCCGGATCAACCAACTCAAGCTTCAGGCGACGTAAGTCAAGGCGGTCATTCTGGGCAGGGTGACAAGACTTACCTCGAAAGTCCTCAGAATCGCTGGTACAAGTTTGAAGATCTCAAGAAGCGAGATGTTCTTCCCAATGCAAGTCCTCGAACCGGCGCCGAACGAGAATAGGCAGCTCTTCATCAGGGAGAGCTCAGCCGGATTGGCATCAATCCATCGCTCGGGCCGGAACTCGTCGGTTCTCGAGCCGAACACCGACTCGTCACGGTGCACGACCCAGGCCGAACAGCCGACGACTGTCCCTCCAGGGATACGCTGGCCGGCAACATCGATCCCTTGGCTTGGCACCACTCGCTCCAGCGTGAGGCCGGCAGCGGGATGGCATCGGAGAGCCTCGTTGATGACGGCACTCAGGTACGGCAGGGAGCGGACCTCCTCCCATTGGACCAGTGCATCCGGGCGCGCAAACCTGCCAGCCTGGCTCTCTGTGGATAGCTCGTGAAGGAGTTTCTCCATCTTCTGCGGGTGCTTCAGCAGCAAGTAGAACACGGCCCGAAGGCTGATGGCGGTTGTGTCGGAGCCGGCAAACATGTTGGCGACCGTCAAGGCCAGCACGCGCTCCTCGCTGATGAAGTCCGGATCCTTTTTGCGGGCATCCTTAAAGCGTGACAGGAAGTCCTTCCGCGAGGGTTTTCCGGCGGGTAGCTCTTCCTGGGCCTCTTTCTCAATGTCGCTCCGCTCTGCCATTCGCCTTTTTGCGAACTCGACCACGGGCGAGTTGAAGTTTAGGAGGTTGTGCTTGCTCATCCACATTCTGAAGGGGTTCTTGAGCAGCAGCTTATCCAGGATCGGCAATTGTCCAACCTGCGAATATGAGTCAAATTGGCGCTCCCATACAAGAACGGATGGAGTACTTACAACCGCCACATAATCAAGTAGACCCTCGAGGTTGTGGATAATATCATCAACATCTTCACCACGGTCGACGAAACCAAGTCTCTTGGAATACGTCAACTCGCCAATGACGTCAAAAGCATAAAACTGCAGCCATTGTCCGAAATCAAGCTCACCCTTGGCCTTTTCGTTCCGGGTATACCGCTGCTTGAGCTGCTTCAGGAATTCCTCAGACGTCGAATCCACGAGTGGCTCAAAGTTGACCAGCGTGCTCATCGAGTAAGCGCTGGATACAGACCGTCGCAGCCTGGCATGGAACTTCTCGTCCGTCGTGTTGAACATGCTCTGCAGGCAGTGGCCGTTGGCGATCGTCTGCTGCACGGGGTAGAAGCCCGACTGTCGCGCTGATGAGCGTGATATTCCCGGCCGAGGCGCGAGGGAAGGGGCTTACCTTGACGAACCCTGCATTCAGAGCGTAGATCGTCTTGATTGCCTCGGCGTTGCCTACCGAGACGGTGCGCGGACCGAGCCGGACCAGGGGGCCGTATTTCTCGTGCAGTTTGATGTGCGTGAGCTCTGGGCGACGTCCCCACACGATGAATACGCGCCACCAGTCGGTGAAGCTCGCCGCGAACGGGCCTGGTATGCCATTGAGCCCGCCGCCGAATCTGTTCACTACTAACTTGGCTGCGAGAAGTGACAGTATGACAGCGAGAACCCCGAGAGGCGTCTTTGGTAAAATCTGTTCGATGATCATGTCGGCGGTGGTTGTTGGCTTTTCGACGTGCAAGTGTTGATGGCGCACAAACTTTCAACCGTACGGCCTTACAAACCCTGGGAGATCGCTTCGAGCATTTGACGTACATACATACACACGTTCGTTTGCAGCAAATATCAATGGCAATTCAGGGCATGCAGCATATGCCCAGCCGAATGTTCCGGGTGACGCGGGGTACCCCGGAATCACGCCGGAAATCTCCACACACATTCCGCCGTGGTCGATTCCGGGAGAGCAAGATTGGGTGGGGCGGGGCGTGCTGTCAACGCCGAATTGACATAGATCATGGGGGAAAGTCGGCATTTATTCAGACGTATCAGGCCCGATTTCAGTTCATCAAATCGGGATTCTGTCTCTTTAGCCTGGTCGTATCGAATGCAGCATGTCCGTCCTATCAGAGAACATCAAGACCAACTGGGTCTTTGGCTCGCCTCTGCCGTTTGCCGAGGCGCCCTGGGCGCGGGGATGCCCGAGCCCGTATTACAAGGAAAGCCACCGCAGACTACGGCAAGCGATGAGAGCCTGGGTCGATAAGGTGCGTACTAGAAGGCCCGCTGTCGGAACGGTATGTGGTGCGGGCTGACACCTCTGCAGCACCTCTTGCCGCATGTCCAGGACTGGGAAATCGCGGCGACACTACCAGACGGTCTTTACGAACAGGCGGCGAAGGATGGCCTCTTGATGCCCATGGCCTCCGGGGCCAAGGTCCACCCTGAATGGAAGGGAAAGTATCCCATCATTGGCGATGTTCCTGCCGATGAGTGGGATGGCTTCCACGATTTGATCATCCACGATGAGTTTGGCAGGATAGGCGGCATCGGGTGAGTTACGACATCGGTGCATTTGCTGCTGCTCAAATACTGATCCACTTGACAGTGTCGAAAATGGCCTTGTTGGTGGTGTCGTAAGCATCGCCACGCTGACATGGAGAGGACTTGCTGACTCTGCCACTTAGACCCTGGCAGTTCCTGCGCTGCAAAAGTTTGGCTCAGAGAAGCTGAAGAAGACGTAAGAGCTTTTCGATCACCGAGTCGGCACGAGTCTGACATGCGACAGTGTTGTCCACGATATTCTTTCCGGTCGTGCCCGTATTGCGCTGGCCATCACAGAGCCAGAAGCCGGCTCCGATGTGCAAGGTCTTCAGACTGAAGCAAGGCTGTCAGATGACGGATCTCATTTCATCGTCAACGGCCAGAAGAAGGTCAGCCAAGAAGATCCATGTCGGTCGTCCCAGGCGTCCTGTCTGACACGTTGAATGTAGTGGATCACGTCCGGAATGTACTCGAACTACTTCCTCGCCCTGGTCAAAGAGACGACTGGAGATATGACCCTGCTCGTGATACCAAGGACTGAAGGCCTCACTACAAGGCACATGACCATGTCGGGATCCACGGCCGCCGGCACGGCATTTGTCGACCTTGACAATGTTCGCGTCCCCATTGACATGGTCGTCGGTGAACGAGGCAAGGGCTTCAAATACATCGTGTCGAACTTTAACCACGAGGTACGTCCGATTCTGGGGTTTGCTTCGACTACTTTGGGCGAAGTTGACATAGCCAGCGGCTGTTCATTGGGTTTCAAGCTCTGCGATGCGCGAGGGTGTGCCTCGAGGACTCGATCTCGTGAGTGCTTTTTCCTCTCCGAGTCGCATCATGCTCACAAATGTAGCTACGCATTGAGCCGAGAGACCTTTGGGAAGAAGCTCGTAGAGCATCGTAAGTGAAAATTTCGCCCATGAGAACACAAAGAGATACTGACAAGCCGGACCACAGCCGTCATCAGGTTCAAGTTCGCCAACATGAGCCGAGAAACGGAAGCTTTGCAGTCTTGGATCGAGGTAGGTCCAGGCGACACGTATTGCTGTTTAATGGCTGCCGCTAACTTGTCGGCACAGAGCTTGATCTACCAGTTGTCGCAGCTGGCTCCGGCCGAGGCAGACCTCTTGCTCGCGGGCACGACGGCGCAGCTCAAGGCTCACTCGGGCATCGTGCTGGAGCACGTCGTGCGCGAGGCGGTGCAGATCCTCGGCGGCATCGGTCTTACGAGAGGTGGTCGTGGCGAGCGTGTCGAGCGCATCTGGCGCGACGTCAAGGCCATTACCGTGCCGGGCGGGAGCGAGGAGATCCTACTTGACCTGGCGACGAGGCGGGCGTTGAAAATCTCGGATGAACTGCGACTGGTGACGGGCAAGGGCGTCAAGAGCCGGATGTAGACTGGGAGAAGTTGGGAGAGAGCGATAGAATTCAGTGTACTTTAGCAATCCATGGTGAGGTTCCACTTGGCATGCTGGGTACTTGTTCGGGCGCCGTCAGGAATCTATTCGCGCTGATTCGACCCCCTCCGACCAGCGGGCAGCGAGCCTGAGTCGTATGCGATGAATGTACCTTTTTGTATCTTTCCTGACGCTGTACCATGTGGATACGGGGAAGGCAGGGGCGCTGCGTCCAGCCCCCGCGCTGTGGCCAGCACCTGGGTCGAGCCTGGCGCAGCACGCTAACGCCTGCCACAGCTGGGTTCACAGGCGGCACCCCTGTATCATAGCGTGTGGTCCACTGGAAATCCCCGTCTTCTCCCTGGTGGCCCCTTATATGTCAGCAGCCTTTCCCCTCCTTCTCCGTTGGATCCCGGAATCCTGAAGCAAAGCTTCACTTTCCATCCATCCAAGCTCCAATGCCTAGACGGATGTTATGCCATTGAGCACATTGCGCAACAACCATGGAGGCTCCGAATAGGTCTTCAATTGCCATGTCTTCCAATGAACAACAACCAGAAAATTCCACGCCCTTCAAGCGGCCTGCAGCCGCCTCGTCAACCGGAGAGCCCGCCGCGAAGAAGAGGGCCAAGTACACCACCAACGCATGGTGAGGCGTCCCCTCCCAAGCTCATCTGCAAACCCGTATGCGTCTGCCACGGCCGCTGCTGATTCGATCTCATCCAGCAAACAATGCCAGAAACGAAAGCTCAAGTGTATCAGAGCCGACAACCAGCTTGAATGCCAACGATGTATCACTGATGGCGCCACCTGCGTTGTAGCACCCAACTCGACCACGCGGGCCAAAGACGTGGAGGTCGAGAAGGAATCGCAGGAAGGCACCATTGGAGATGACAGCAGCTCGTAGGTTCATCCATCATCCCATCTCTCGACGTTCACGGGACGAAGACTAACATTTCCTGCCTACCACAGGAGAGAGAACCCCCAGATGGAAAGCCTCGTCGAGGACATCTCACGCCTTCAGCAACAGGTCGCCACCCTGATCGAGGGCATGCGCGAACTCACCGAGCGAGGCCGCAGCAGCGACTACGGCGTCGCACCCCTCGGCACGAATCAGCAAGTGAGCCCCGCGTACTCGGCCCACGCGAGAGCGTCGAGGCACAAGAGCGCCGAGCCGATGCAGCCGCACTTTGTCGGTCCCACGCGCCCTGCCTTCAGCCTGCGCATCGCCGAGATATCCCTGACGCGCATGGGCATCGGGTCGAACGAGGCCCTACCGCCGAGCGCCCCGGACTCGCGCGCTGGCTCCCCGGGGCCGTCGTCGCCCGAGCCGCAGATGGCGTCGCAGGTCGGTCTGGGCTACGATCCCCTGCTGACCTTTGCGCCGGGAGAGATTCTGCGCCTTCTGGACGTGTTCCAGGAGGAAGTCGAATCCGTCTACCCTTTCATCGAGGTGGCCCGTCTTGCTGCCGGCGCTCTCCAGGTCTTGGCCTTTCTTCGGAACCCTGAGGAGGACATGGCGCCTTCGATGCGGCGAGCCCTGCAAAAAGATATGCGGCTCATGAAGGTTGCCATCGCCACGGGCATCGTCATCGAGGCGCACGGCAGGAACGACGCGAGTACATTGCTGACAGACTCGGTCGAGGCAGAGATCAGCTATGCGTCGCGTCTCAATGTCGACCTCAAAGAGGTGCAATTGTGCACAATGCTCGTAAGTACGAACGTCTCTTCATTGGCAGCAAATACTTACCGGTGTCGTTGACAGAGCATATACCATTTCCACTGCGACGAGGAGCTCCTCGCCTGGCGTCTTATTGGCACCGCCGCCCGCACAGCTCTCGAAATGGGCCTGCACCGAAAGCAGAGCTTGGTCGATAACTTTCAAGAGACGCACGACCGGAATCTCGCCGTTCGGCTCTTCTGGTGCATCTATGCCCTCGACCGCCGCTGGTCATTCGGCACGAGTCTTTCTTTTGCACTTCATGATCGCGACATTGATCCTGAATTACCCGAGCCGGTACGTCTTCCACCGTCAGGAACGGAATCGTATGCTAACCTCCCAAAAAAGGGCGAGGGCTTCCAATATCTTAGTTGTATGGTCGCCTATGGAAGGCTGTGCTCAAAAGTGTGGGAAGCTCTCCCCCTCTACGGCCCGTCAACAAACTGCATCCCCAAAGACACGGTCGGGTATCTCGACTACATGGCGCAGAACTGGCTGGCATCGATACCGCGGGAACTTCAGCTGCGGCACCCACGCCTCGGCCTGGCCCCGCGCATGCAGCCTCGCGTCACGCACCGCCTGCGCACGCTACTGTACCTCCGCGGCAACCACATTCGCATCATGATCCACCGCCACTACGTCCTCACCTCGGCAGCGATCGAGTCGGACCTCCAGGCTGCGCGGAATGTTGTCGAAATTGCCCAGGACAGCCTCCAGGTGCTGGTCCACCTTAACGACAGCAGCGACATCTACGTCCGGCAGCAGAGCGCGTTCAACTATTTCCTCCTCAGCTCCCTCGCCGTCATCTTCCTCGCCGTCTGCCACGCGCCCGCCACGTTTGCAGAGCCGTGCAGAGACAGCTTCCTCGCGGCGCTGCAGCTCGTCAAGGGCTTCTCCCGCCACGGCAGCGCCAGTCGTCGTCTGTGGAAGAGCATCCGGGGGCTCGTGCCACGCGTGAAGTCGCTGGCCCTGCGATCCGAGGCGGAGAAGAGCCAGATGGAGCACGACAAGGAGAGGCAGGCCGGCCTCGACGACGCGCAGGCAGACGTCGAGACGGCTGTCGAGCACACGTACAACGGCGGCGGCATGGAGAAACAGCCCTGGCAGGACATGTGGCCGCCGATGGACGAGGATGTCAGCCCCGGGCTCAGCAGCTCGATACCGGATGCCTTCCACATGAGTGTCGACCTGATGAGCCTGTTCGACTCGTTCGGCATGCCGCCGGACTCGGCCATGGCGACGGGGTCTTTTGAGGGCATGGTACCGATGGAGGGTGCGGATGAGATTTCACGGCGGTTTCAGGGCCTTATATGAGGAATGGACATTTGATTCTCGCGTGCTTAAGCTGTGCTTCATTCTGTCCTTCATTCTGTGCTTATTCTATGCCATGCACTGCATCCTCGCCTTCTTCACTCGAGGGCGTTCTCGAAATACACCATCATGGCCCCCTCGTGCACCGTCTTGACAAAAGCCTTGAGCTTCGCATGGCCCGCGCACTCGTTGTCGTAAAAAGCCATGTCCTCCGTCGAGGCGAACGTCGACTGCACGGCCACGGTGTAACCCTGGTCCCGCGGGTTGGGCGCCGCGACCCCGGCCTTGACGCCGAGGATGTACGGCTTGCCGTCCTGTCGGCAGTCAGCAGATGCCCCGGGCGTACGAAGGACGCGAGTCTGTGTGCCTACCTTGAGGGCGCTCTGCTGCAGTGTCTTGTAGAAGCCCAGCAGTGTCGCTCTGTCGTCCTCCTTGGCGATCTTGAATAGCATGATGCGGTTGATGGTCATGGTGGCGGTGGACGGCGTTTCTGAGGCTTGTCGAGGGGTTTCGTTTCAAGCTTGAAGGTTCATAGGACCATGATATTCAATGAGCTTAGGTACCGAAGCACCGACGTACCTCGAGGTACATGTAGTCGTCCTTGACGATCGGCGGCGTGGCTGCAGGCCATGGGTTGAGGCGACGGACATGCAGGGGGTGGTGCTGTTCGGGAATTGGCGCTGCGGACTGCCGATGCTCGGAATGCTGCGCGATGTTCGGAACGGCGTCGGAACCAGCCCCTGAGGTGCCTAGCATGGCCTCACACTCTGCTAGCCGATCGTACCGTAGAATACAGCCGGAAAGATGCAAACTACTGTCAGTGGGGGCGTGCTTGATACGCCAGGTGCTTTGAGCTAGGTCACAGGTCCAGATAGGCACACGGTACACGTTCACATGACAAGAGAAAGGTTGATGACAAGAGAAAGGTTGATAGCTTCAAAGTAGTGCTTCATTCAAGATACCAGTTCGTCTCAGCTCCGCGCAACCGCAGGCAGAATCTGCCCCACACACTCGCCGAACCCGACGAGCTCGCCCTCGACCGACCCGGCCCAGCCCGTAATGGTGATGGTGTCGCCGTCCTCGACAAACTTGCGCTCCTCGCCGCCCTCGAGCTGGATCGCCACCTTGCCGCCCTGCGTCTGCTCGAGGAAGCTGCCGTGCGTGCCGGCGTCGAAGCCCGACACGGTGCCCGAGCCGAAGAGGTCGCCGGCGCGCAGGTTGCAGCCCGAGATGGTGTGGTGGGCGAGCATCTGCGGCCAGGACCAGAGCAGGTTCTTTGACGACGTCTTGGTGAGCTTGGTTGTGTGGCCCTTGGCGGCTGCACCGCGTTAGTTTGCTTTTCCTTTCGTAAGGAGAGACAGAGGAGGGACGTACTCGTCACGGACACCTCGAGCTGCACGTCGAGAATGTTGTCCGTCCGGTCCTCCTGCAGGTACGCCTGCAGCGGCGTCTCGTTCTCGAGCCCCCGCGTGCGAAACGGCTCGAGCGCGTCGGCGAGCACGACCCACGCGCTGATGGAGGTGCCAAAGTTCTTGGCGTTGAACGGGCCCAGCGGCACGTACTCCCACTGCTGAATGTCGCGCGCGCTCCAGTCGTTCATGAGCACGTAGCCAAAGATGCTGTCCTCGGCGTCGGCGACGGCGACGGGCGCGCCGAGCGCGTTGCCGCGGCTGACGAACATGCCCATCTCGAGCTCAATATCCAGCCGCGCGCTGGGCCGGAACACGGGCGCCGTGGCCCCCGGCGCCGGCAGCGCCTGGCCCCAGGGGCGGTGCAGCGGCGTGCCCGAGACGACGACCGAGCTGGCGCGCCCGTGGTAGGCCACCGGCAGGTGGTGGTAGTTGGGCTGCAGCGCGTTGGCGGCGCCGCGGAAGAGGGTGCCCACGTTGAAGGCGTGGTTGCGCCCGGCGAAGAAGTCGGTGTAGTCGCCGATCGAGAGCGGCAGGTGCGTTTGCGGGTCGCCGAGCGCCACGAGCGCCGTCTGCCGCAGCGTGCCGTTGGTCTTGAGGAGCTCTGGGTACGGTGTGTCCTCGCGGAAGACGTCTTGCAGGTACTGGCGGATGGCGCGGTGGTACGGCCGGCCGAGGGCGGCAAAGGCGTTCAGCGTCGGCTGAGCGAATACCGATGTATTGCTCTGCAGCTCGGGCGCCAGCTTGGAGAAGCCGGCTCCTGATGTGAAGGCGGAGAGGTCGAGGACATGCTCGCCCACAGCGACGGCTGGTCGGTGGTGTGCATTGGATGCCGTGGATATGATGCCAAAGGGGATGTTCTTCAGCGAGAAGTGCGAGGACACGGGTATGGGGAGCCAGGACTTCATGATGAGCTGTAGGGGTGTTGTGGTAGGGAAGATGAGATGTTGGCGAACGAGACTTCGTGATAGCATCCAATGAGAATATCTCCTTATGGTTCACAGTCCACAGCTTGACATACATCGAACAGACCAAAATTCACACGTCAAGGAACTGATAAGTATCAGACCGGCGGGATGATGCAATGTGCCCAGCAGCTAGTCCATCACCCGTCGCATTGTCCCTTCGGAATCATGCTGGAAGCACGCTGGAGCCTCAGTGCAGTTCACGGAATTTCGGACCTGGCGCGGGGTCGCATCACAGTGGAGATGCCCGAGGCCTGAGGCGGCGTGAGGGGCTGAGTCTCGGAGCTGCCCCGCGGTGAACTCTGGCGCCTTCAGGGGCATGCCATGTTGCATCCCCAGTGGCAATATTCATGTTGTGCGATGCTGGCATGTGGTTCTGGGGTTTCTCTGGTTGTATCGATCGCCGATATGCCGTTCCTAATACCGAGTAGCGGGCCGCATCAGTAATTGCCCGGTACAATGTGACGGACGTCGTATGATAGACCTTTTTCACTGTGATGATCGCCGAAGTCACGGCAGCTCGGGAACGGCAGTCAATGTCGGAAGCCCCCCGGAAGCACCTAGATAAGACCCTGAGATCCAGACCTTGACTGGCACCAATATCTGATACCATCTTCTTGCTTGACACTGTACGTTTGCAGACAACGATACCAAGTCTTGATACCAAAGTGAGGCAGAGTCAAGATGCCCGTCACTAAGTTTAGCACTCCGGAGAAATACCAATACCTCAATGGCTTCGGCTCAGGCCACGAGTGAGCCATTACATCTTACCTATCGTGAATCAAGTGAATCATATGCTAATTATCTCCTCCGCACCGCAGGACCGAAGCTGTAGAGGGTGCCCTGCCAATTGGTGCCAACTCGCCCCAGAAGGCACCTCTGGGACTCTATGCCGAAAAGCTCTCTGGCACTGCCTTTACCGCTCCAAGGCACGAAAACCTGCAGTCATGGCTGTACCGCATCCTGCCAGCGGCTTCACACTCGAGCTTTCAACCGCTGGAAAACCAGACCGGCTCGGGCCTCGCCGCTGACACTAAAGTCCACCAGATCCCCAACCAGCTGCGGTGGAACCCATTCGACATTGACGAAAAGGCCGACTGGATCACCGGCATGCAGCTCGTTGGCGGCGCTGGCGATCCCGTCATGAAGCAAGGAATCTCCATCTCCATCTTTGCAGCCGGCTGCGACATGGACGCCCACACAGCCTTTTACTCGTCCGACAGCGACATTCTTATCGTTCTCCAGCACGGCGTCCTCGACGTGCAGACGGAGCTAGGCAACCTCCTCGTGAGACCGATGGAAATCCTCGTTATCCCGCGCGGTATCCGCTACCGTGTCACGCTTCCCGAGGGCCCTACCCGGGGGTACATCCTCGAACTGATGCAGGGCCACTTCACGCTCCCGGAGCTCGGCCCCATCGGCTCCAACGGCCTCGCCAACGCGCGCGACTTCCAGGCGCCCCGCGCCGCCTTCAGCACCGAAAAGGCCGACTGGACCATCGTCACAAAGTTCAACGGCAGCCTCTTCGCCGCCAAGCAGGGCCACACGCCCTTTGACGTCGTCGCCTGGCACGGCCGCTACTACCCCTACAAGTACGACCTCGGCCGCTTCAACGTCATCGGCAGCACCTCCTTCGACCACCCGGACCCGTCCATCTACACGGTCCTCACAGCGCCCTCGGAGCGCCCCGGCATCGCCGTCGCCGACTTTGTCATCTTCCCGCCGCGCTGGCTCGTGCAGGAGGACACGTTCCGCCCGCCCTGGTACCACCGCAACACCATGTCCGAGTTCATGGGCCTCGTGTGCGGCGAGTACGACGCCAAGTCCGGCAGCGGGTTCCAGCCCGCCGGCGCGAGTCTGCACAACGTCATGGCGGCGCATGGCCCGGATGCCGAGACGTTTGAAAAGGCGAGCAATGCCGAGCTCAAGCCGCACAAGGTTGGCGAGGGCAGTCTGGCCTTCATGTTTGAGAGCTGCCTCATGATTGGCGTCACGGACTGGGGGCTGAAGCACTGTCGGAAGGTGCAGGAGGAGTACAGCAAGGAGAGCTGGTCTGGGTTGGTGCCGCACTTTACGGGCAAAGCGCCCGAGGCGAAGTAGGACCATGAGATGGATGATATGTCACGTAATGAGGGGAGAAACTTGTGTTCTATCCAGAGGGTAAAAAATTGACCCAGGTTGCAAATATGAGCGGACAGAATACACTTAAAGTGATACTGCAGTAATCGGGTGATTATTGTTGCTGGGTGCCTAGACGATAAATTGTTTAAACCCAACAGCTGCGCTGGCGAGATTTGGTTTGGGGTACGGAGATTGACATGTGAGCAGTGAGCTGGTTGCAAGGTTTCCACACGACATCCCAGGGAGACAATGTCGCTCTTTTTACCTGCGATCACGATGCAGCAAAGTCCAAGGTGTTCATCAATCCGAATCGAACCTTGCGACATATCAATCTGACGTATTACAACTGTGAAAAATCTGGAAGAAATGCCACAGACGATAGGGTTGCTAGATCTGCCGGTCAATCTACCCACAGTTACTTCTCAACGTCCTCCGCAACAGTGGACATGCCCGTAATGACAGAAACGTTAATGACAGGCACCAAATACTTGTCCCGTCCGTACGCGAAGTAATACACCACGCCAAACAACACCCAACCGGCCAACACGACCGTGGAATAATTCATCGTCTGCGCCGTGACGGGCATCATGGTCGGGAACGTGCTGAAGACAACAACGACAGCCATCCAAATGAGGCTGACGACGTTCATGGCCGGCCCCAGAGTCTTCCCGAGCTTGAACTTGCCGTAGTCGTTTGCATAAAGTACCTTCCTGCCGCGGAAGAGCATGTAGCCGATCGGAAGCGCGTACGAAAGGTACATGCCAATGATGGCCATTGACAGCACAGCATTGAAGGCTGTCGTGTTTCCGATGTAGATGAGGCCCAGGAGCATCTGAAGGATGGTGACGACTACCACGGCGCGAGCGGGGACATGTTGCGTCTTGTTGACGTAGCTGAGATAGTGGTCGAAGGGGGTGGCCTTGTCGCGAGCGAAAGCCCACAGGGTTCGAGAAGTGGAGGTCACGCCCGCAACGGTGGCAGCAATGGCGATCAGTATAAGCATCAGAGACATGATCGTGGCGCCGGCACGGGATTCTGTGACATCCAGATAGATCTGCATAAAGGGAAAGCCGGTGCGGGAAGTGATGAGCGATTCTAGGGGCCCAGTAGAGAAGAGTAGGACGATGACGTAGACGAGGCCCATCAGTCCGTTGACAACTACGCTGCCGACCATGGCGAGCGGGACGTTGCGGCTGGCGTCTGGCAGCTCTTCAGCCAAATGGCAAGCAGCATCGTAACTGCGCGTGATCAGTATTTCTCATGCCAGGGGAACTGACATCGAAGATTGACTTACCCGAGGAAGGGATAGACGGCGCTCAGCAAGCCAACGAGCCAAGAAATTCCATCGCTTGGCCAACCGCTGTTGTTTGAAAACTCGGTAAAGACAAAAGAGGCCGTGTTCTTCTTCGACATGACGCCAAGGACGATGACAATCGCGACAAAGGCTGTTACATGAATGACACCCGCGATGAGATTGGCGTGTGGCAGCGCCTTGGATCCCCAAATGTTCATAACCATGGCGTAAACGAGTACTGCCCAGTAGAACAGCATGCCCTGCCATCTCTCCGGCACATAGTCATCGTTGTTGATCGTGATGAGGGCTTGCAGCTGCAGACCAGCTGCAAAGGCGGCCGAAGCAGTCAAGATGGTTTGTCCGCCGACCGAGATCCAACCTGTTAGGAAGGAGACGCTGGATCGGGTGGATTCTGACGACAGGGCTGCAACCCAATGGTATTGGCCTAGGGAGATACTGATAAGCTTGTGTCTGGAAACTTGACTTTGAACAAGATAGCGGTCCAATTATGTGGCAGGAACTCTCAAAGTTTCTCACCTCCAGCTGTTGGAAAGATCGACGCAATTTCGGCCAGAGAGGATGCTACGCAGATGGTGCAAAGAAACGAGATGACACTAAAGGTCAAGTCAGTAACACTGTTTAGAGTTGCTGTCATGGTGATCTCGCAACTTACTAGTTGTAAAAGAGACAGGGGGCTCCTCCGCCAATCAGGCCAGCAGCGATGACTGTTGACAGAGCCTCCCACGTTGCCATCAAGCAGACACAGAGAGCAATCAGGGGTACAAGAGAGAAACGACGCTCCAGCTCCTGGGCATGACCCAGTTGCGCCAGACGAGCCTCATCGCCTTCCGCAAAGACCGTCGATCGCATCTTCTTCAGTTCTACATCGTCCATTACCTTCTCCGGAGCCGGTGGGGCAGCCGAGGAGTCTGACATGGTGGTACGGGCTAACGGTCGTTTGGTGCTCCCTTGAGGTTCGCTTGGTGTTGCCACTAGGATGACGCGATGGGATGGTACACAAAAAATGTGATTCACGATTGCAGCCGTGATACTGCGACGATGACCCTTGATGCCTCATGGGCCCCGGATGATAGCGGTAGATGTAGTCGGGAGATATCCAGCATCCCGACAGGGCAATCCGAGGACATATCGTACAGGAGACTACGACGAGACAGGGGAACTGATACTGCAGCCATATCGTCCTCGGACTGATTGGCCGACCAGTGGAGGGAAGACCACAAGCGATAGGAAAACATGGGGTAAAGCAGGGATCATGGGACCTCAATCAGGCGCTCAGGGAAGCGTCGCTTACCGAGCGTGTTCGGAACCTGATAGCGGGGATTCCGAGAACCATGAACCCTGCCTGGAGAAGCTGATCTATGCTCGAAGCGGTATTGGGGCATGTGCTACCCCAAGCATGAGCTGTCACCCTCAAAACCACGTCGCATTTTCGCATAATAGATTCACTGCACGCGTCTTCTCTCTTTCTCAGCGGCGTCCTCTCGACCATCCTGATTCCCTTCTTCGCAATGACGCAGATCCCACACCCCCTTTCAGCTCTCACCGTTGCGGAGAGTGATGTGGCCCGTGATGCTGTCTTGGCAGATCACGAGGGCGCTGTGCTGAAGTTCCGCCTCATCTTCCTTCTCGAGCCCCCAAAGGCCGAGGTGATTACATTCCTTGACCTTGAGCACGCCGGAAAGGTCACCGCAGAGACTCCTCGCCCTGTCCGCACAGCACAGGTTCACTACGATGTCATCGGCGGCGACAATGCTGCTGTATACCAAGAATCCGTGGTCGACCTGAGCTCCAAGAAGGTCGTCGACACCAAGATTGTTGCCAAAGTACACCAAGCGAGTTTGGTCCTGTGAGTTCCGTCTTGAAGTCCGTTCGCTAGGTCATAAGCTCATTTCACGTGCCCAGCTCTGAGTTTGACGACCTTGTCAATGCATGCAAGGAGTCGCCGCTTTTCCAGGAAAAGATTGCCGCCCTCGAGCTCCCGAAAGATTTCGAAGTCGTCGTCGAGCCCTGGCCATATGGTGCTCCCGAAGTGGCCGATGGCAATACCCGTCTGTTCCAAGCCCTGATCTTCGCGCGTGACGCAAGCAGCGGGAACCCGGACACCAACTTCTACGCCTTCCCGTTACCCCTCATTCCTGTGATGGACGCAGCGACGAAGAAGATTATCCGCATTGATGATCTCGCCACCGGCGGCAAAGGGGACCCGTTGAAGGGACAAACACACAAGCCCGCTGTGCTGGAGCACTGCGAAGCGGCAGAATATGTTCCAGAGCTCCTGGCTGGTGGCGTGAGAAAGGACCTGAAGCCCTTGACTGTTGTCCAGCCCGAAGGCCCCAGCTTCGCCGTCACGGACGGTAACCTGATTCAGTGGCAGAAGTGGAGCATGAGAGTCACATTCAACCCGCGAGAGGGAGCTGTTGTCCACGACATCAGGTTTGACGGGCGCAGCGTGCTCTATAGGCTCAGCATGAGCGACATGGTTAGTACACCCCCAAGCTGCATGTGACACACTTAACATGGCTGACACAGTGTGAACTACCAGACTGTTCCATATGCTGATCCGCGACCTCCCTTCCACCGAAAGCAGGCCTTTGACTTTGGAGACGGAGGCCTTGGAAATGCTGTTAATAATCTGACGTTGGGATGCGATTGTCTCGGTGTCATCAAGGTACGTCGCGAGTCCCAGTGCAGGTCGCTTGCAGGTTCACTTACATGCCATTAGTACTTCGACGGTGTCCTCACTGGGGCTGACGGCTCCGCCAACGAAACGAAGAACGTCATCTGCCTCCACGAGCAGGATGCCGGTATCAACTGGAAGCACACGAACTGGAGGACCGGCCGCGCCGTTGTGACCCGCCGACGCGAGCTTGTGGTCCAGTTCATCATCACGCTGGCCAACTACGAGTACATCTTCAACTACAAATTCGACCAAGCAGCCGGCATCACCGTCGAAGCCCGCGCGACAGGCATCGTCTCGGTTGTGAACATTGACCCCGGCAAGACGAGCCCATGGGGCAACATTGTCAGCCCAGGTGCCCTCGCTCAGAATCATCAGCACATCTTCTGCGTGCGCATCGACCCCGCGATCGATGGCCAGCAGAACACCGTTGTGCAAGAAGAGAGCCTTCCCGTTCGCATGGACAAGCGAACGAATCCCAATGGCAACTACTATGAGGTCCGACAAACGCCCATCACAACATCGGTGGGCCTTGATGCCGTGCCGCAGAACCACAGGGTGTTCAAGATCCAGAACACCAACAAGCTCAACCCCATCAGCGGCAAGCCCGTCGCGTACAAGATTGCACCGCCTGCCACTCAGCTGCTCCTCGCCGACCCGAATAGCGTTCAGGCGAAGCGTGCTCTTTTCGCTCAACACCACCTGTGGGTCACCAAATTCAGGGATGACGAACTGTACGCCGGTGGCCGCTATACACTGATGAGCAAGAATGAGGTTGACGGCGTGTCTGATGCGGCTGACCGCAACGACGACGTTCTCAATGAGGACGTCGTCGTGTGGAGCGTATTCGGCCTGACCCATAACCCCAGAATCGAAGATTGGCCCGTCATGTAAGTTTTCGTCATGTCAGTCATGGGTGCTTCGGAAGTGCTAACATCATACAGGCCTGTTGAAATCATGCAGCTTCACATTACTCCTTCTGATTTCTTCACCAGAAATCCTGCGATTGATGTGCCCTCAGATAAGGATCTCGGCTCGAAGCCAACAGAGGGTTGCTGCAGTAAGCTGTAGGTTTGAGTACATGCTGGATGATTTTATGATTTACACGTTGGGTGTATAGAGATAAAGCTACTACTGGGAAATGGCAACAAGATATTCAAGTGTCTGCCTCCGCACCACGTGAGAAAGCATTGGTTTCGGCTGTGAAGACGAATTCAGACCACGACAAATCTTGACTGTGTAGTCACATTGAGACTGCGAAATGGCGAAAACACGGTCGAGGCGTCTCCTTCGTCCCGATTCCAATTCATCGCCCATGATTGGAGAAACGGGAATAAGACTCAAGCCGGGGTTATACACGTCCATCCCACGTGTTACTGTGTCACTGATGGTCCAGACCGAAAGTATGCTTAATGCATTCTTGTGTCCACCCCGAAGCCAAGGTAACGTCGACACCGGTTCCGAAGAACACGAACAACGCATCCTCGTGCCACTCCGAGTGACACCCTGGCTCGGCTGCGGCACGACACGGCTTGATCATCGACAACAAGGCTGTGGAAAGGATGGACCGTTATTCACACAGGGACAGACGACTGGGTTCCGAGTGCGTCTGCCTCATATAGCTCGGGACTGTTCCGACCATCAGCCCCTTCCGAGGGTTCTAGACCCCGCATCGCGGGGATCAACTAGTGCGGGGGAAGCCGGCCGGTGCACCATAATGTTTGGGATTGCGAAGATGTGACCGTGTATTGGATCTGACGAGGTGGCGAAGGTTTGCCGAATGGGTAGAGGGTTCCTTCGTTCGAGGAATGGTCGGATGGCGCGAGACATGGATCGGCTGAGGACCAATTTGCCATTCGTATAACATGGCCTCTCGATGCATCTACCTCCATTATCATGCTTCGAACCCGTTTGCAGTAGCGCTCGTACACAGCACCTAACACTTTACCTTGGAACCTTTTTGATCCCATCCTCCCCCTCAGCGATACTCGATAGTCTAAGCGTCTACTCACATCACGCAGACTGCCAAACGCCGCCATGGCTGTCTTTGAGACCGTGGCCTTTATTGCTCAGAGGGCACGCGAGAACACATTGGAAGCCTCTGTTGTTCTTCTCGTCGCTGTTCCTATCGTTTACGTGGTAATCAACGAGTTTATCCGTAGCAATGCGCGCATCAAAGGCATGAAGGGACCTCGCGGTCTCCCTCTGGTTGGTAACCTTTGGGACATTCGGACCAATGCCGCGGATCAGTATCGCCACTGGGCGAAAAAGCACGGCGACGTGTACCAGGTGCAACTTGGAAATGTACCAGTGGTCATCGTCAACTCAGCTTCGGCAGCCAAATCCCTTTTCGGTCAACACTCCCAGGCACTGAGCTCCCGGCCTGAGACTTACACGTTCCACAAGGTCAGTACAATTCAGAAGCATGGAGTTCTGCCCATTCCCACCACGACTTGCCCATTTACCTAATATTGGATTGGGTCTACAGGTTGTTTCGAGCACCGCCGGTACCACCATCGGCACATCTCCCTACAGCGAATCTCTAAAGCGCCGTAGAAAGGGTGCTGCCTCTGCCCTCAATCGCCCCTCTGTGCAGACGTACGTTCCGCTTCTAGACGTCGAGACTCGGGACTTTATCGAGGAGCTCTATGTAGACGGCAAGGCCGGAACAGCAGCCGTGGACCCCATGCCCATGATTCAGCGTCTTTCTCTATCGCTGGCGCTGTCGCTGAACTGGGGCGTGCGCATGAGCAATCGAGGCGAGCTTTTCGAGGAGATCACGCACGTCGAGGAAGAGGTCAGCCGCTTCAGGTCGACAACGGGCAACTACCAAGACTATGTTCCTCTCCTCCGACTCAATCCTTTCAACTTCCACTCGGCCAAGGCCCGCGAGATGCGCCACCGTCGAGACGTGTACCTTACGGCTCTCAATCAAGGTCTCGAGCAGCGAATGAAGGATGGCACTTACAAGCCTTGCATTCAAGCCAACGTCATGCTTGACGAGGAGGCCAGACTGAACGTCGAGGAGCTCACGTCAATCAGCTTGACCATGCTGTCTGGTGGCCTTGACACCCTCACGACGCTGGTCGCGTGGTTCATCGGTCTTCTCGTCCACAAGCCTGAGATTCAAGAGAAGGCCATCCAGGAGATTCGCGCCTTCTTTGGGGACAATGAGCCTCTCTGTGATTCGGAGGATGACCAAAAGTGCCCATACATGGTCGCTCTTGTGCGGGAGTCCCTTCGTTACTTCACAGTCCTCCGCCTTGCTTTGCCGCGGGCCACTGTCCGCGACGTAGTCCACAACGGCATCACCATCCCTAAGGGATCCACGCTGTTCCTCAACGCTTGGGCCTGCAACATGGGTAAGCCTCTTCCCTCTGCCGTGGCATGGCGCATCGCCTGTTTGCTAATATTTGATCTGTAGACGGCAACGTCTGGTCTGACCCAGAAGCTTTCCGCCCCGAGCGATGGCTCGAGCAGCCCGACGCTCCCCTCTTCACGTACGGCATGGGTTACCGCATGTGCGCGGGGTCGCTCCTCGCTAACCGCGAGCTTTACCTGATCTACATGCGCATGATCAACAGCTTCAAGATTGTCAAGTACGACGACTTCGAGTCGGACCCCGTCAAGGGCAATGCGGACCCCACGAGTCTGGTCGCCCTGCCGAAGCGCTACCGCGCAAAGTTTGTTCCCCGCAACGAGACTGCGCTGCGCAAGGCACTGGACAGCACGAGACAGGTGGAAAGCGAGAAGCTGTAGATGCAGAAACAATTTTATCACCAGTCTGTGCATAGCCTATTTAATTTGTACTAGTCATGAGACTTTTCGAGTTCAATGATCGGTTCGCTGCCCATGATTATGCTTCTGTCTATGCTGTTTTGAAAGGCGTACAAGGTGTCTCCGGGAACGATTCCGATAATTCCGGACACCTGAGCGACACCCCGCGACGATTCCGTGCACCCCGCATTCGCAACAAGGCTGTCTGGGATGGGTGATCTATAGTGGCTCGGAAAGACATCAGTCGGGTCGAACTCGGCGTTCTTCATGGCCGAGGTACTCTTAAGCTGTGGCTCAGAGCCTTATAATAATTGTCACGTCACTGTAAACTAGCCGTGCGACAGCACCAGCGAACATCCCCCTCCCAGACCAGCCTATCAAAACAAACAGCCATCATGGCCAACACGAACCACGTCAACCGCATCACACTATTCAAGATTCCCAATGAAGATGACCGGCAGAAGCTGCTAGAACTCTATAGGGGTATGCCCCAGAAGGCAGTCAAGGTAAGCGGCGACCTTATGTCGCCATGGTCATCGGGAATCCCTGCTGATAGCACGTGTCGCGACAGGGCGGACAACCTTACCTTCTAGGTGTGAAGGCGGGCACTGCCTTCAAAGATCAGAGAGCACAAGGTTACACTGTTGCCGTACAGTCAACCTTTGCATCGGTGGAGGATATGGCATACTATGACAACGAATGTTCGGCTCACGCCGAGCTAAAGGCGTTTGCCAAGTCCGTGAACCAAGGAGCAATGATGATTTACTTCCAAGACGAGCTGAAATAGACGTCGTGTTGATGGAAATCACCACAGGACTCTTCTTGCTCAACTCGCAATGCCACTTGCTGTAGAGAAACATGGGATGATTTGCTTACCAGCAGCCACGCATAGTCGATCACCAGATTCGGGATCCGCACCGATCAGGCACGGTCTCTGGTCATATGAGTGGATGTTTTCGGCCTTGGTCTCATCTAGGAAGCAGATTTTTTTTGGGCATAGGCACAGCCATGAATAACATGCCAAATCTACGGTTGTCCTAGAAAGCAGACCTTCTCCATGCTAAGGATAAAAAAGCTGCCTCGAGCGATTCGCGTCCTCGCCAGTACCGAGGTCCGCAAACCATCTGCACAGTAGATGAGGAGCTTTGTGGGCCTTAAGCTATGATCAAATCTGATTAGTGAAGACCGGTGGCTGAGAATCTTGCTTCAGGGACCTATTGCGGCCAAAACGAGAGATCTCGATCACTGTAATCCAGGCTACTGGGTATCTAACCAGGCCGACTTGGACACCACTCACGGCATAGCCACGACGGATGCATTTGAAATATCTAAGTGCCTTCTGCTTCACTTATCGCCCGTAGCAGCTAAGTCAATAATGGTTTGTCAGTTCGCTGGACACGGAAAGATGTGGTCGTCAACCTCCAAGGCTAGGGAGGTCGCGCAAATCTAGTCCACCCATCATTCGGTTCTTCGGCCATGCGCATTCCCTGCCTACGACGGCTCCTTGGTAGCGATCGGATGGATAAAACAAGCACATGATCTTCAAAAAGTTTGCATGTTCGACCCCGCGATTCTGTCAGGCCGCAGTCCCAATCATTGGTCTCCTCAAGAACTACAGGCTGTGAACGTGCTAACGACGGCAGCCGACGATGGTCTGGCCAAAGCATAACAGGCAAGGGTCGTGACTAAGGCCTTTCAATGTGAGACAAGTTGTCTCAAGAACGATCGTTGGGGCGCAAGCCGCTAGCTGCTCGTGATGAGCTCAATTGACGAGGAAACGAGCTTCGTGGGTTTTCTACAGGCCTTCAGATGAAGACATGGGACTCTCGCCCTAAAACAAGCTTAAAGAAAGGTCGTAGCCAGATCCAATAAGGGCCCAAGCCATGGCACCAGATACCTAGGAACGGACTCCCCCGTTGTATAACGTTCGGTGGTGCCACGACGAGCATGCCAGATCCCAACCACAGCCCCTCCCCCTGCCTTCCAACACCCTCTCGCGTAAAGAAGCATAACGCCATGTCTAGCCCATTCAGGCATCCTCGCCTCGAGAAACCGCAACAGAGATGGTCAGCCCTACCGGCAATCCCCCAACCCGACAACCTGGCTTGCATCTGCGCTAACCCTCTTGACACCCAGCCCAGCACGTTCTGGCTGCCAAGCCCAATAGCACAGCAAGCCCGTCTGGCCCCATCCAGCTGAGCCTCTGACACCCCAAAGAGGCCGAGCTAGACACTCAAGCCCTCGCTGGTGGGCCACTCAGAGCCCTTGCTGGTAGACAAGCCACGAGACGACACTGGCTTGGCGGTCAATGGCGGTGCAGCCACAGCTGAGCTCTAGGCCCTCGCTAGCTTTGGGAAGTCTAGCCCTCAGAAATTGGGTTGTGAGTCTGCGGCTGGGTCGCCTCTCATTACCGAATGCAGCCACGAGAGGGCACCAAGGCGGAAAGGGAGAGGAAGATTGTATTGTATGGGGGCATGGGTTGCTCGTGGCTCCTTCATATTGCTTGGCTCGCCCTCCTAAACCCCTGGCACGTTTGCTGAAGGTCTGGTTCTTGAAGTGCATATTGGCCCTCTTCGATTTCAGGGAACAACTGAGCAAGAAGCCATCCAAGCTACGAGCGAGGCATTGTGGCCTGCTTCAACCCGCTATGCATCAACCACCACAGTATGAGCCGAACCGCCTGGAGGTGTTGGCGGAGGAGCTGTCGGCTCGGGAGCAGTACAAGCACTATTCGATGCAGGGTGTCACCGAAGTCAAACCCCAACAAGGCTTTCCATCAGAAGAGACGGAGGACAAGAGGAGACGGACGAAGGCTGACTATCGCCCAATTTCCATGCGATGGCCTTTTGTATCGTGCCTCCTTCTACTGATCCTCGCCGCCATGGGCTTGGTTGCCTGGACACAGCGATCATTGAAGGGGACTGACAGCACGGCAACGATTGAGCAACGGCAAGTCTTGAACGAGAGAGGCTTCGTGAATTCGAATGTGGCCGACGAAATACTTCATATCAGGCAAGATGCCGTGCCGAGTCCCGTGCCGACTGAAGCAGCGCCAATTCCTGAAGCAACGCCAGAGGCCGTCCCGGAGCCAGCACCCGAGCCTACGGAAACGGTTGCCAGTGGAAATGACGACGATAACGGCGATGCTGCCGCTAGACTGCGTACGACGACAGAGGAGACATCGTCAGAGTTCACGACCACAGTCACAATACCCGGCTCCAGCATCTTGGAGACTGAGACCGTTCAAGTAACCATTGATTCAGCGATCACCACCGACATCACCACGACTGTCATCGACACGGAGACGGTAGTCACGAGTATTGTTACATCACAAGTGGTGCCGACCACCGACTTTTCGACGCTGTCCGATGGCTCTGTATCCACGATTGTCAACGAAAACACAATAGAAGCGACGATTCAGGCGACTGCAACAAACACAGTATCTCGCACCACTGTTATTCTTGCGACCATCCCCGCCGGCCAAACGGCCACCGAAATAGTCCGGACGAGGACTGGCCGGCCCCAGATCTATGTTTCGACAGGCACAACGACGCTCACCAACATCTACACGGTTCGTGCTGATGGCAGAACCCTCTCCAAGGGAGAAGGCGGCACGCCTGTGACCAAACTTGTTACGAGCGAAGTAGCCGGCAAGGTCGTCACAGAGACAGACCTCGGCGTACCAACGACTATTGTGACGCCTGATGCCAATGGCCAGCCTATCACGATTGTGTCAACCCCAAGCCCAAGCACCCGCGTAACGACTCTGCCGCCGACTCGTACCGTTCTGACGTCTGTCTCGACGCCGACCTCATCGACAGATCGTATCGTCATCGAGACGACGACCCTGTCATTCAGCGCCGTCAGCTACTTCCTCGGCAAGTTCCTGCCGCCTATCCTCGCCATTCTCCTCGGCATCCCTATTCGTGCTCTCGACTGCGCCGCCAAGCTCTATCACCCGTTTGAGGCCCTGTCACAATCGCGTGGCGTGTCCGGTCCGGCATCCCTCAACCTGCACTTTGAGGGCTGGGGCGGCTTTTTCTTGCCCTTTAAGCTCATGGGCAAGTCCTATCCGGCGACCGGCCTCACGACTCTGCTGGTCTGCATCTCCGCTTTCCTGACCCCTGTCGCCACCGAAGCCATCGGCATGAAGATCCACGGCCAATGCAGCGCCAACGCAATTGACGGTTGCGGCCTCAAGCTTGGCATCAACACCGTCGCCAGCGGCGTCCTCATCACCATGCTGGCCGTGCTGGCGCTTCTCGTCCTCGTGCTCCTCGGCGTTCTCGCCCGCTGGCGCTCCGGCGTCTTTGCCGATCCCTGGTGCGTCGCCGGCATGGCGGCCCTCGCCCGCAACCCGGACGTGCGCTCGTCCAACGAAGACGTCAAGTCGGTCGTCGCCGAGAAGCACTACGCCATGGGCTGGTACCGCGACGCCGACGGCCGCGACGAGTACGGCCTCGTGCTCGTCGACGAGGCCGGCAGGAGCCTGCAGGGCCAGCCCGGCGCCGGCGCCTGGGACGGCCAGCCGATCGAGGCGGAGACGCTGCATCCGGCCGCCAGGCGGCAGAAGCCGCCCAACCACTTCATCGCGTTGACGTGGTGGTGGCGCCTCCTGTTCGTCGTTGTGCTCTGCGGCATCGCGGCGCTCGTGCTGTACTATCACATCACCAAGAAGCTGCCGCGCGATCTGCAGCGCTTCGTCGACAGCCAGCGGTTTGGCGGGCGTTTCGTCTTCTCGGGCCTCGGCGTCGTCGTCATCTTTGCCTCCGAGTGTCTGTTCTGCAGTACGTTTCCTGTTCGGTGCGAAGAGTTTTGCATTTCCGTCTTGTCTGACTGACATTGGCTTGTCTAGGCGTCGCCGTCATTGCCCCGTATCGACTCATGGCCAAGCGAGCCCAGCCCGCGCGCCGCTCGATCCTCGTGACGCTTCCGACCAACTCGTTCTCTGGCATCGCGACGGGTATCCGCACGGGCGACCCTGTGCTGTTCGTCGTGGCGCTCATGGCCGTCTTGTCCGAGTTCCTGCCGATTCTGCTGGCCAACGTGCCTTACAACCTGACGCAGACAAAGCTGACGCACGACATTTGCGCGAGAACAAGCGCCGGACTTGTCGTCCTCATGGCCGCCGTCGTGGTCGGCAGCCTGTTCATCCGCTGGCCTGACATGCCTGTCGATCCCCGGAGTGTTGGTGGCGCCATGTGGTATGTTTCCGAGTCGAGGTGGGTGTCAGGCCTCGGCGGTGTGGCGGCCATGGACAAGAAGGAGAGGAGGAAGAGGATCAAAGAGCTTGGTGGGCGGTGGTTCTACGGCAGCGTGTTCGGAATGAGGGGCGAGCAGCTCGGTGTCGAGGTCGAGGATGGGTATAGGTCCGGCTATGGCGCAGGCCAGACGGCGGAGTACCGCGGGCCTTATTGAGGTGGTGCGACAGGGGTTTTGTTCCCAGGATAGCTAAATTGTAACCACTAGCGATGATATTGATTGTCTCTAGTTCGCGAAACTAATACACTTCACGTCTTGACCGCATGCAAGATCAACTGCCTTCGAAGCACCGACTGTCACATACGACCATACCTACTGGAAAGCTCGGGATCCCGTCCGCTCTCCCTTTGATAAACCAGTAAGGGCCGAATCAGTAGTTGGGTGGGTGACCACCAGCGAATCCTCGGTGTTGTATGTTTTTGATTTTGTCGTGTTTGCTGCGGACGCAGCATCCTGTGTATGGGTTACGGGGGGGATGGTTTTGGCAGGAGATCGTGAGTTGCAACAAGGTGGCTCGGCATTGGAGATGGTGTAAAAGGTGTTGGAGACGGCGGCGCGATCCAATGGAGGTCTGTAATCCGCTCAATTGTTCACGTCAGGCCTGCTTCAACAAGCCTGTCTTCGCCCTTCATCTCCTACTTCTGTTGCATAAGGAGCCGACCTTGGTGATGGATCAATGTACTCGATCAAGATGGCAGCAATGATTATCACATCTCCATTCTGATATCCTGGCTGCTATCCTGTGAATCTGTGGATCGTCTTCAGGATCCTGGCCTGGGAACCCAAGCGGCGGGTCAATCCATCAAACTTCCACCATATGCCGGCGGGCCGGTGCTGATCACGGCCTGTAGAGTCCCACGGGACCCCGGATTTGGGTAGAGCGGTAGCTAACAAGTCGGCGTACAGAACGGCGGAGTTCCGCTGGCGTCTTCCAGGCGCCCCAGGGCTTCAACCCTGCGGCGCCTTGGCCTACCTTGCCTACCTAGACAGCTGACGGCGGCCGTGCTAGGTACTTGGCGATGTCGCCCGTTGCGCGTGACGGGGAGGCCGAGCCGAGGAAGATCGTGCCCTTGAATCAACAGCATTCCGCAAACACAGCCCCAGAGTCTCAGCGCGACAGCCCGCCAGCGCTGCCATAATTCACGCATCGTCGCTCAACTGATCCTCCTCATTCTTTCTCAACCACGCCAAGGCCTTTCACTCACCCAAAGGTCTCCTTGCTACTCAAGAGGCTACGTACTACAGCCTCTCGCCCCACCATGAAGTCGCCCATCCCTGACTACCTCAACCAGGTGCTCAAAAATGCGCGCGACAACGAGGACGGCGCACCAGCGGCCTACATCGAGACGCTCGCCAAGGCCGATACGTCGAGGCTCGCCGTAGCACTCGCCATGGTCGACGGCAACATTTACTCGGCTGGCGATGACGAGGTCGAGTTCTCGATTCAATCCATCTCCAAGGCGTTCGTCTACGCCATTGCCATCGAGGACGCCGGCCTGGAGCGCGTCCTCGAGAAGATTGGCGTCGAGCCCTCAGGCGACGCCTTCAACCGGCTCTCACTGCACAAGGGCACGAACCGGCCGATGAACCCCATGATCAATGCCGGCGCCATCACCGCCCACTCGCTCGTGGTGCGGCCCGACGCGACGGCCGAGGAGCGCACCGAGCGCATCCTCAAGACGCTCTCGCGGCTCGCGGGCCGCGAGCTGCACGTCGACGAGGAAGTGTACGAGGCCGAGCTCCGCGACGCCGACCGCAACATGGGCATCGGCTACATGCTCAAGGCGGCGGGCATCATCACGTGCGACCCGCGCGAGGCGGTCAAGGGCTACATCCGGCAGTGCGCCATCAACGTCAACGTGCGCGACCTCGCCATGATGGCGGCGACGCTCTGCAACGCCGGCCTGCACCCCGTTTCCGGCGAGCGCATCATCCACCAGGCCAGCGTGCGGCAGGTCCTCTCCGTCATGACGACGTGCGGCATGTACGACGCCGCCGGCGACTGGGTGTCCAACGTCGGCATCCCCGCCAAGAGCGGCGTCGCCGGCGGCATCATCGGCGCGCTGCCGGGCCAGGTCGGCATCGCCGCCTTCTCGCCCAAGCTCGACGCCCGCGGCAACAGCGTGCGCGGCGTCGCCATCTGCGAGCAGCTCTCGCGCGACATGGGCCTGCACATGATGGACGTCAGCCAGATCGCCATGTCCACCGTCCAGACCTCCGTCGCCACCATTGTCGCCGGCGTCCACGAGCCCCACAACAGAAACTGCCAGCGCGAGGTCATCGTCTTCAAGCTGCGCGGCGCCGTGCGCTTCCCCGGCTCCGAGCGCCTCACGCGCGCCGTCGCCCGCGAGCTCGGCCGCCCGAACCCCGACGATCCCGGCTCCGGCCTGCACGGCGATGCCTGCGCCGTCATCTTCTCGTTCCGCGAGGTCTACTCGCTCAACCACGTGGCGCGGCGCATCATCCACGAGGACATCAGCCGCCTGATCCTCGAGGAGAAGATCGTCGTCGTCATCGACCCCTCGGGCGTGCTGCAGTGGAACCACGAAGAAGCCGAGAACGATCGGCATCCAAAGGTCGTCAAGAACGAGACCGAGGCCCGGGACTTCATCGGAGGCACAGGCTGCAAGGCAGTCTCTACTGATGATGGCTGGTGATCGGCGAATGGAGTATCCAGCGGGGGCTCACGAGATCTCTGACTTCTCTCTAGCCCAATGATACCTAACGACTTTGATTTTCATTCAACCGCGTAGATGCTAAGCTGCGAAGACCCAAGTCCTGTCTATGCTCATCACGCTATCACGTCGTCTGTCGTGACTAACGGCACGAAGCTCGTTTAAATAAGATTCGAGTGACTGCTGTAAGGACGGGTATTATTCTCTAATATGTCTGTGTTCATAAATCGTAAAGCCGCAGCTCCGCTTGCGCAACGTGGCGACATGATTGCTCGTCGCAATGCTTGGGTCTCTTATTCTGTGGATCCTCCAACATCGGCTCGGATCTTTTCCTCATAGCTCCCACCAGCGCGTCTATCGCAGTGAACGGGAATGCCACCGTCCATCACACACCTTGCTTCTCATTCGTCTGTTCCGCGAGGGACCCGACCTTCAACCACTGCAGTGTGCTCGGGTCCTGACTAGGCGGCACCTTCTTACCGTTCCCACTCGTCGGAGTCTGCAGAAACGGATCCTCCTTCGGTGTGCCGGGGTGCACCTCTATATTGTAGGCCAGCTCCGCCTTGCTGTGACGCGCCTGGTCGACCAGCTGCACAATGTCGATGTCTCCCGTTCCACTAATGCCGCTGCGCGCAGCACGTGCTAGAGCCTCGCGATGCGCGATGGGAATACTGGATACCCGGCCGGCCAGATGGCCCTCACCCTCAGGGGGACCGCTGGTGCCCCATTGGTAGTTCACAGGGCGCAGCAGCGCGGCGCCCGTCTGGAGAACCCAAGCTTCGGCAGCACCCATGTCATGGTCCTTCTTCTTGGGGCGCCACTTCTTCGGCAGCGGGCGTGTCACCACCTGGCGAGTGGCGATGAAGGTACGTTTGATAGCCTGGAAGAGCGAGTACACGTAGTGGTCGGGGATCTTGCGGATGAGAGCGCCTAGAGGGATGACGAGAACACCAAACAGCATAGACCAGCCCCACTGCGCACCCGTCAGAGGCTTCGTGTCAAAGGCCTCGCCACCCTTCCAGATGATGACCATCTGACCCGCAAGAGTAGCGCACTGGACACCGAGGAACCACGGGTTGCGGAGCACGCCTTGATACCAAATGTTGAGCTTGTTGTCGACGCGACGGCAGTTGTGCTGGTTGAAGAATTGCATCCACACATAGATGTTAAAGGTGAGAGTCTGGACCTGGTCCTTTTCAAACTCGGTCACGGCATTGAAGAAGGACTCGCCGGCGTAGTGAAGCGTGAACATGACAGCGAGCTGGTAGACGGCCAGGCCTAGGATCATTTTCCACATGGTGATACTAACGATCGGGGCTGTGCGAGGTTCCGGCTTTCGTTTGAGGAAATCCCGCGAGGGGTAGTCGGTGGCGAGGCCAAGGGAAGCGAAAATATCCATGATAAGGTTGATCCAGAGAAGCTGTACAATGGTGAAAATGACGTCGCCTGCAAGCTCAGAAACGACAGTCAATGTACCAGCAGTGATGTTGATGGTGAATTGAAACTGGAAAATCGTGAGTGAGGTGTTTCAAGGAAGGGGGCGCAGACGTACCTGGAGGAACTTCTTCGTTGCATCGTTCACAGTCCTGCCCCAGACGAGAGCCTTGACAATGGAAGCAAAGTTATCGTCGAGCAGAATGATGGATGCAGCCTCTTTGGCAACTTCAGTGCCCTGGATACCCATGGCGAAGCCCACATCGGCAGCCTTCAGAGCCAGAGCGTCATTGGTGCCGTCGCCTGTCACGGCAACAGTCTCGCCCATGCCCTTGAGGTGGGTCACAAGCAACAGCTTGTCCTCGGGGCTCGATCGCGCAAGAACCTGTAGTCGAGGAATAACAAGATCCAGTTGGTTAGGCGTCAGTCGTCGGAAGGTCGGGCCATCAAGGGCCAATCCACCTGGCGTGTAGATGCCACAGTCCGTTGCAATAGCCTTGGCCGTCAGGAAGTTGTCACCAGTGACCATGCGCACGAACACGCCGGCATCCTGACACTGCCTCACAGACTTGATGACCTCTGGTCGCAGAGGATCACGGATACCGAAGACACCAATGAAGGTCATGTTGCAAAAGTGCTTGTCGAATGGGATCGAATCGGCATCGTTCGGGTCGTCGAAGGCTTCGTCAACACGAAAGTCACGGTAGGCAATGACAACTGGTCGCAGCATGTTCTTGGCGTACAGTTCAATCGACGCGTGGATCTCGTCGCGTGCCTCTTTGCTGATGGGCTGGGTGGACAGACCGGCGGTCTGGGGGTCAGCGAGCATGTCTGTGCATTGTTCAAAAATGACCTCAGCAGCACCCTTGGCCAACATGCGATACCGTGTATCTTCCAGCTTGCTCATGACAGCCATCCACTTGCGTGAGGCATCAAAGGGCGACAGGTTGGCGATGTTGCCGTTGGCTCGTTCCTCGTCGAGGTGTCCCATAGCCAGGAACTCGCGGCCGAACTTGAGAAGGGCCGTTTCGGTGCTGGTGCCGACAAAATTGGTCTCGCCAGCCTCGCCGCTCTCGAAGGCTGTCGAATTGAGGGCGAAGCTGTTCCTGACGAGGCTCTTCACGTCGTCCGACAGGGCTGATACAAAGCCGGGAATGGACGGTGAGTGTCCAGCAGAAACCACGTCGGCCGTCTTTTCCGACTTGACGGACGTTTCAGATGCGCTGAGGGCGGAGCTCGTGGGGCCTATCGCCCCAAATTCAGCGACACCAATCTTTCCAATAACGACCGTCATGACATTTTGTGTCAGTGTGCCCGTCTTGTCGGAGCAGATACATGTGGCATTGCCCATGATTTCACAGGATCGGATAAGTCGCACCAAGTTGTTGTCCCTTAGCATGCGCTTCGTCGCGAAAGCGAGAGCCAGCGTCACAGCAAGCGACAGACCTTCTGGGACGGTGATGATGACGACGGTGACAGCGAGAATCAGTACTTTGAAGAATTGCTCGGCCTTCTCTGATGCCGTTCCACCCATATTGGGGATGTTGACGCAGAATCGAATGAACATGACGAGGAAGAAGCAGATACCGGCGATGGCACCGAAAACGATGAGCTGCTTCGCCAGCTTGCCGAGCTTTTGCTGCAGCGGCGTCTCCTCGACATCTTCGCGTAGCGACATGAGGGTTCGACCGTACGACGAGTTTGTGCCGACGGAAACAACAAGGTAGGTTCCGATTCCTCCACACACTGTTGTACCGCTGATGATGAAGGGATCGGGGAGGTGCGCTTTACGCGCAAGAAGAGCCTCGTGCTCGCTCACAGCATTCTTGTGAATCAGTTCTGACTCGCCAGAGATGGATGATTCATCGACCTGGACACCTGCACCAGATATGAGTACTCCATCGACGGCCACAACATCGCCGGTTTCGACGTGCATGATGTCGCCAACAAGCACCTCGTGAACCGAGACATTCTGGGTCCGGCCTGACCGAATCACCTTGACTTCGCGCTGCTCCTTGCGCTCGTTGAGTTTCGCAAACTTTTGGTTCTTCTGCCAATCGGTAGCAGCACTCGCAAAAACGATGACGAGGATAGCGACGACGACAGTCACGCCGTCGACCCATTGGATTTTACCGCCCGCGTCTTCGGCGTCTACCGACTCGTAGATTCCCAGCGCCAACGAAATGACAGCTGATATAGTCAGAAGAAAGATGAGCTTGTCGTTGAACGCAATCCAAGCAAGCCTGAGAAACGACTTTTGTTTGCGTTTCGGCAGTTTGTTGAGACCGAATACGCGTATACGGTCTTGAAAACTTTCGTCGCGGTGGCCCCCGAGACCTAGGTCGACATCGAGGTGGAATGCGGTGTCGTCTTTCGTAGGCGCCAGGACTGGCGTTAGTTCGGGTCGTCGTCGTGCCTTGCCTGCTGAAACGGCCTCCTCAAAGGTGATGGTGCCGTCGAGCTGTGCTTCGTCAACACTCAGGCCCGCGGCCGTATCTGTGCGTAGACCTGTCGCGAGACCCTGCAGTCCGCCAAAGGCACGAAGGGCTGACAGTGATCGTGCGTGTATGAGCTGGTGTAGTTGAGTCGGGGTGAAGGCAAAGTTGTTGTTCTTTGGCCTGTCGGCTTCTGGCTCCGCGTCCAGTTCCTTGATATCGAACTCTTTGTCAATGTTCTTCTCTTCAGGAGAAGGGGAAGATGTGGGGGGCGACACAGCGCGCGGGGCGCCAGAGTCATACTGCCGTGGCGCCGCCGCCGTAATGTCGTCGCTCATCTGTGTTTGTTGCCTTTGCCTGGCAAGAGGCGATCAGGCAGTGCGTGCGACACAGGCGAATGCGATTGTCCCAAAACGCAGGGCTTATGCGAGTGGGATGAATGGGTGTCCGGTGGCGGAAGGGAACACCAAGACCGAAGTGAACGACGATGGGGAAGGAAGGACAAGAGAAACAATTGAGACGTGGCCAACGAGTTTAGAATACCAAGAGTCCAAGACCTCGGCCGCAGGGGTTTGAGGGGGGAGGCAGAGGTAATAACGATGTTCCGCGCCAGCTTGACCATGGACCCCAATGCTGACGCCCAGCCTTTTTTTGCGAGCCTCATCCAGTCTCCATACGACGAAGACACTGCATGTCGCTGGGATGGTGGTCCACCGAGTCATCGCTTGCATCGCTGCGGGGACCAGGGCCAAGAGGTTGGATGCCAAGGCTGAAGAGCCTCGTAGCCGGGCTACTGACAGAGTGTGGTCGTGGGCCACGTCACGGGTTCTCTTGGCAGGTCAATGGCGATCCTGCACAAGCCCAGCCAAACATTGCTGCGGGTTAGCACTATGCTGCGCCTTCATAGGTTTTGTGGTGGTGAGAAATCTGTGGCCTTGGCCCTTCGGGCGAGCATGGGCCTAGTACAAAGTAGCCCGTGTTTTTGCCCTCGAAATGGCATTGGCTACCGCAGCTCATGATTCACACACTGCAGGCAAGCAGACAAAGTAGTCGTAGTCACCACCACGCGGCGGACAGCGTCTGCCGTGGGTCGCCTGTCGTCGCAACGGAGTG